AACAAAGGGTGTCTCTTCTCTTCAACCACGAATATGATGTCTTCAGGGAGGTAGCCAGGTTTCTCGTTCCCTACTCCTTCAAATGTTATCTTGGTCCCTTTCTTCCATCCTGGTTCGATGTTCACTCTTAACGTCTCTTCTTGTTTCACAATCAATCTGTTAATAATGCAACATAATGAATAACTCGTTTATGTAATAGAAGAGACCAAAAACTTTAACTATAAAGTTTGATCCTACAAATGACTTAAATCTAGGTGTACCCCGGACATAGTCAAATTTTGCTGGAAGTATAAATACAAGTAGCAGGTTCTGTTCTAGAAGTTTAGGATCCTTATTTAAAGAATTCGATTAGGTTTCAGTTTGGTTCATTTAATGTAATTTGGAATCAGCTAATATTTGAGATAATCTTGGATCCCATTCGGTTTCGGTCCAGTTCTAATTTTTGATTAATTTGGATTAGATATCAGATTTTTATGGAATTTTCGATAATTCACATAATAAAGTATTTTGGTACAGTAATTTGAAATTTTGATATATAGGTTTATATAAATAATTTAATTATTATAAAACTAAATATAGTCAATATTTATAAGTAGATAAATATATTATAAAAATTTAAGTATCTATTCGGTTTTTGGTTTGGGTTTGATTCGATTTCGTTATTTTGGTTCTAGAAATATAGGATCTGTATAGGTAATTGATATGATCCAAACTCAAACCAATTTTTTTCGGTTTGGGTCCTCGATTATGGATAAATGTGCCCATGCCTAAATGCAAGTCTTATGGTTATATTTTATTTGTTCTCATAATCAATAAACAAATTAAGTCAATGGAATTTTGCTAAGTTTTTAAAGATTCTTCTAAGCTTAATTCTTGAACACGTTAGGTTAAACCAACCCTAGACCAGAAATTCAAATTCTAACTTAAAGAAAATGAGATCAAGAACAGAGAGACAAACCCTTCATCGGTGATGATGTCTCTAGTAATCTTGATGTTCTTGACTCCACCATGACAGAGTTCCTCCAACGTACACTCAAGCATTCTCTCAACCGCCGGTGGCTTTTTCGGTGGCGTCGACTGAGAGAAAACAATCGGCGTTGAGCTTCTCCTGCTTATACTCCTCCCCATCGATCCCACCGTATCCCTCGTGCTCTTACTCTTCCTAAACGGCACAAACGTAGCCGACTCTCTCTTCTCTTTATCTCTCTTGCTACGGCTCTTCGTAAAGGGAGGAGGAGGAGAGGTTAGTCCTTCCACGTCACCGAATAAATCAGCCAACGTTTTATCTTTCCCTCTAGGGCTCGTGAATGGTGACGTTATAGGGCTTGTATTGTTAGAGACGGGACGTGATTTGATACCCTCGTGATCTTTACTACGGCTTGTGGTTCTTGAGAAAAAAAATCGGTGGTTGGAAGAGGAGGTTGAGGAGGAGTAGGAGAGGTATGTTGGTCTAGCTTGCGGCGTGTGGCTGCGACGGCTGCTGGAATTTGATCGCAGAGAAGAAGAACGGCGTTTGAATACGGTGTTATCGTCCATGCTTTGTAACCGGAGACCTCTCCGGGCAGCGATCAGATCATCCTCCCCGGCGAATTTCTCCTCCATATATTTCCGGTGGATTGCCTGAAAATGTAAAACCGGTATTGGACTATGCTAAATGAAACATTTGCTACAGACTCTTAAATTTTTTTGGAAAAAAACAATATAGACAGATTAAAAAAAAAAATTTAGACTCCGAAATTTATAAATTAATAAAAATTTAGCATAGGTCTCCTAAATCTGAAGGCCGGCCCTGGATAGATGATAAGGAAAGAACGTACGGAATCGGTGTCGGAATGGGAATCGGATTTGCGATGAGAAGAAAGAGGATGTAATTTGGTGACGAGGGACTTGTATGCTTTGCATGCTGTCTTTGAGATTCCGAAGAAATCTGTCGCCGGTGATCTTGGAGTCGCCATAGAGAATCGAGAAGATGAAGATGGTGGGGAAAGAGAAAGATTAGGACAACTTATCGTGCGTTAGAGATTAGATAATTATCAGACAGACACGAAGGGATGAGTTGTTTGGGCTTTCCCGCTTTTATTAGTACATTTCTGTTTCCTTTTACACTTTAAGATATATCCAACGAATGAAATCATAACTAAACAAGCCATTTGTAATTTAATTAAAACTTCTGGAACCTTTAAACATTGATTATCTTTACTTGAATTTGTGTTCCAATTGTTATATGATTAATGATTCACATCACGTGTATCATTTATGTAGTGTATAAAATTGTTTTGACAATAATTTATTTTAAAACTTGCTAACGTCTTTGTGATGGCAAAAACCTCAAAAAAAGTGTGTCCATGATACTCTTTTTCTGACGACCGCATGTTCTTTGTGAAAAACAAATCGAATATTCAAATGCTGTCTTCTTAATTGATAGAGTATTCCAAGCAATAGATCTTTTGCAGCAGTGACAGTATAAACTGTAAACTCTTTTACCTTTGGAAATAAGCTATTTTAAAATATTCGGTGATCTACTTACATTTTTTTTTTTCTGTGTGCAGAAAATTGTTAGGAGTGCTACGGTTTCATTTCAATATATATGATATTGCACTCTAAAAAATATGTTCTAAATTTATTTTTTCATGTGAACATAATAAAGTCTTGAAGGTCTTCCTTTTATTATTATTATAATCTTAAGCTGGTTTAATACCAAACCTTGTTTTTGGTGATTACAAGTGTTTTCCTTTGATCATCACATACAAGTTCTCTCTTACTAGTTACAACTTTTTTTTGTTGTTTCCTTTATACCGTGTTTGACAAGTTAACGTAACAAAACCCAAAATCTTTCAAACTTTCTGAAAACCCTTTTTTTTTTTTGAAAAAGATTTTCTGAAAACTTAAAAGACTCATTAGACTTAGTAAATCATCCATTTAATCGTGAACTTGCTTGTCTACCGTGACGGTGGTGGAGGAATTCCTGTGAGAAAGGCCGAGAAAAAGGCGAGAGAGCTGCTTGGTTTGAAGGAAGGCACCGCATGTCCAGCTCCTCTGAACGTAGCAAACGTTAGCCCTTCGTATTCTTGAAGCCACCCACTTACTTGTTTTTCATGGTACCATGGCCTCCAAGCTGTCTTGATGGGTAATTCAAGTGCGCTTAAGCTGTACCTAGTCGCCAGTACTGGAACTCTTCCGTCTGTGTCACCACTGAGCCATCACAGAATCAAAACCAACGGTTTAGTGGAATACTCTTTATGCATTGGAGAATAACTAAACTTTCTTACATATATATAACCAAGTACCAGCAAAGCAAAGTTTAAAACTACGTGTATATTGGTTACTTTTGTAAGAAGCAACCGAAGTTAATTAATGCTCTAGTTTGTTTTTTTACTTTCACTGATCAGATTAATTTTTCTCAATTTTTAACTGTGTTGAAGTCAACAAAAATTTGTTTTCAAGGTGAAATTAATCAGGGATTTAGCTGGTTAACTTAATAATGGGTGTATTTTATTCCAATGACCTTGAGATTCCAAAAATAAACTCAGACTAATGATGTGACCTAACTATATCATGTAAATAACTAAAGAAATAATGGATCACTTTTTAAAGTCATGACATAAGACAATGACCCACTAAAAAACAATTGTTTAGTGCTCATGGAAGCATTTTACCTGTAAACCCATATTCTTAATCCCCCGGCGATGAGTTTCTCGTATATTGGCAAAACCGAGGGCTTTAAATAAGTCCAGTTATGGAAGATCTCCATGCTGCAATCTCACAATATCAAACAATATTTAGACAAGTTACAACATATATTATTACAATATAACACATGAAAAATGTGCTGAGTACTTGCAAATCTTCCAGTCCTTAAGATTAACTCCATCACTCGCATGAAGAGACTTCTGAACATCTGCTCTATTGTAAAATGTTCTCGCGTAATCGTCCAAGCATGGGTCATATCCACCCAAGCGCCTTGGCGGCACCTAACATGCAAACCATTTTTTTTTGTTAAAAGAAACTTTTTGAAAGACATTTATATTAAAGTCTTTTAATATATTAAAGATCATAAAATAATTAGATGTATTATATTATATATTTTGTTAAACACGTACCCTCTTGGAGCGGATGTGAGAATTTGTTTTGAATTGTGCTGAATCCAAGTAAGAAGAACTTGCAGAATCTCCTATACAAACCGATGTATAGAGGCTATAGATATCGATCTCGTCGTACTGCTTCTGAACTTCTTCTACGGCTTCAGAGCACTCGTCATCGCTCCAAGTATTGTCGCTGCTGAAATTGCAAGTCCTGGTTATGATCCTATGCGTCTCATCAGATATCACGGCGTGGCTCCATGCGTAATCCACCCAACCTCTCCAGTCTTCTGCATCTGATGTCTCAGGATTCCCCAGCTACACCGCGAAAAATATTGGATGTAGGTTTTAGAATATACTAATGTTATAACGTATAAGACGTAACTAACCTCACCATGCAAAATTTATCGTATTATAAAGTTATTCTAGGTTCACATTCAATTGAATTGCATTATTCTATATTTAATATTTTTTTTAAAAAGTAAGCAAAATCTTCTTAAGTATAATATATCTTTAAAAATAAATAAAAAATTATAATAATTAATAAAAATGAAAATAATTTTTTTTAAAGAAAATATTTTAACACTAAACTCTAAATTCTAATTCTGAACCATAAATCTCTGGGTAAATCATAAATCTTTATATATTTTGGTTTTAAGCACTAGTAAACCAAACACTAGTATCATAAAGAGATTTAAACGTACCAAAATACCCTTAAGGTTGATGTGAAGAGATGAACCATTGTTCTTGTTATTGTTATCGTACACGACCTCTGCTAGCTCCGGTACGTATTTTCCTACAAGTATAAATACATTCACCAAAAATATTAAAAGAAAATTAGATTTGAAGATATTAACACGAAAATTAAGATGGTTTGCTTTAGTTAACCTGCATAGCTTTCGCCTGCTATGTAGAACGTATTTTCTTTGTGTTCAGGGAACTTCTCAAACCAGTTGCAAAGAAAAGTGAATGCGTCTCTTGCTGATCGTCGAATAAAAGAGGAGAGAATGAATATAAGTTTTATAAGAGAAAGAATGAAGCATATCGTTATATATTCGTCTTCTAAGGATAGAAACTATAGATTATATAGTGGTTATAATAGTAATGGACCTGCCTGTAAAGTCATCGTCAAGTTTTTGATAATCGCTAGTTGTGTTTGAATACGAAAAGCCAACACCGACGGGAGATTCTAAAAACAGCATGTTTGCCTCTGCATCAGCAAAAATCAACCTTTTCATTATTTTATTCATTTTCATTTACTTATAGATAAGAAAATTAATCATACAAAAATCAAATAAAAAGTTATTTACCTTTATTCCATGCGTATGGATTAAATTTAAGCCCGTTGTCGTTAGTATCCACGAGAAAAGGACCAATTTCTTGTGTTGCTCCATATCCCACAGAAGAACAACCTGGACCTATAGTATACCATATACAAATGATTAAGTTCTAAATTTGTTCTATCGATCGTGAGACAACATCAAACATATAACAATTTATAACACTAGCTAGTTGTTTTATTCTAAGAGATATGATTACTGGCATATAACAAAATCGTAGTAAGTTAATTAAGCATGCAAATAAGACTTACAAAGAAAAATAATTCAATAAACAGTATTTAAAATATTGACGTTGGAAAGGAAAAACGGCCAAACATAAATCATAAAACGGTAAATTATGTTGAATCGTGTTATAAGTGTACTTTTTCAAAATGCAATAATTATGATTGAAAATATGAGAATATGTAACAGTTTTTGATACATGCATGAACAATTCAAAAGATTGGATTACCTCCATTAAGCCAGAGAACTAGAGGTTTCTCCTTGGGAAGATCCATGGCCTCAAAGAACCAATAAAACATAGCTCTTCCGTTGGATTCGTCGACAGGGACGTAACCAGCATAGTGTTTGAAACTCACATCAGGCTGGCCAGGCAAATTTGTCACGAGATCTTGCTCGTTGGCCAACAAGCTCCTTTGTTTGGGGCTATTAGACCTGTGTTGTCTAGTACATGTAACTACCGGGAGTAATATTAAAAGAGTGGTGGTAACACACAAAGAAATTAACATGTTCTTGGTGTGATAATCCATTTGAGTTATAAGTTGTGGAAGATCAATGAAATGTACTGAGATGATGAGAAGGATCTAACACTTCGATGTCTATTTATAAGCTAAGCTCAAGAGATTTTTTTTTGTTTGCTTTTGAATTTATTTTATATATTAAATTTTTAGTTAAGTGGATATGGAAGAATAGTCCTATGTGGCAATTGGTGGCTTTAATTTGTTCAGTTGATCGAATAATTCCATCTTAAAAACTAAGATTTATAGGGACAAGTTCGAGAAAATTCGTATACTTGACTTATACAGAGTGGATGAAGCACTTTCTCTTTGATGGGTTTGAACAACGTCATGAACAAAGTAATATAAATTTAATCAATCCATAATATATTATCTATCCCATTTAACCTAAGAAATTAAGAGGGTTAATCGACCCCACAATAGCATAACTGCGCAACTATATACATGTGGAATGCGACCCTTAGCAAGACGATAGTCACTAAAAACTAGCATTAAACTTGAATACGTACGATTCAAAACTCACAATTCAAACTATATATAGAATTTGCAATATCAAACCTGCTTACCGAAAACTAATTTAAACTTAATCCTATTTAGACGTATATTAGTATTATTAAACCTTCAAACTTTTTTTTTTGTTTTTAAACTTTCAAACTTAATTAAGTAATATATATACGTAGATTTTGTGTAATACAAATATATACGTAAATTTTGTATAAGACAATTGAAACAAATTAATTGGTTACTAACTACTCCAATAATTAACATTTTTGCATCAGTTTTCGGAATATAATAAGTTTAAAGGAACCATTTATATGAAAAAAAAAACAAAACAAAAACTATAAATATGAATAAGATTATATGATGAAGTTTCTTTTGTTTTGTAACACATATGATCAAGTTTCTTATGAACCAATATATCATTGCTAAACTTTATGCATTGAAATCAACGAATAACTTCTCGCAACTATCGCTAACGTCATACACTCCTAGGTTAAATACGATGCGGATATTCCAGAGAAAAATAAGATGATTTATTTCATTAAAAAGGAGACATGTCACGTTACAACATCTCTGAGCAAGAATTGACTGTTGCGAAAGGCAAATGGAGGTATATATTCCAAATTGATGGTGCCCTTTAATTTACATTTTTTCAAAAATGTTTTTCTATACATAAAAAGGTTATATAAATCCATTAGAACCTCATCATTAGCAAAGCAGAAAATGTAGTTTTGTGGCGAACCTTATGCGGGTTGGGATTCTTGAATTTAATTTGATGTACTTAGCTATAGTTTTAAGATAGCTAATTAATTAAATAATGAAGATCTACTGCATATAGAAAATAGATTAAATATTCTAATTTTGTCACCACTGAAAAACTCGCACTAGGAGAACTAGACCAACTCCATTGCAAGATTCTTAAAGGAGTTCATAACAAAAAGTAATTAAAATATTGATGGGTCTCATGATACCGTTAAGAATTTGGTTACTAAATGCCTTATTTAAGAGGCAACTCTTAAGCCAAACGCGGATCTCACTGATATGTGACGATTCGTGATTGATCAACCTTTTTATTTTTTTAAAAATTTCACCGAATAAATTATTAAAATATTAAAAAGGTAAAATTTGGGAAATTGAGCCGGAGGTTCAGTAATGAAACTGTTCTTAGACCACGAACTTGATAAGAACTTTAGCACATGACCACTATGCCAAAGATGGGGTTGATCATGTTGGTCAAAACTAAAATCGATTTTCAATAGATCTAGCACTTGGCTGTTATGCATACACTTGACTCTATATAGTTTCAAACGGACAGCTTTTCGTTCTTGCAATTGTTTAGCTACATGACTTCTCGATTAAAAAGCTGAGTCCAAAAAAATAGAGAAAGAAACAAAAAAATGTTTTGTTGAATGGTTAATTATGACATGGTATCCAGCTTTCGTTGATGAGGAATGAGAGGGAAATCATGTCTGGATACGTTACATTTCCTATTTGATATACATTTTTCAATTAATTGTTTTTGTCCCTTTGTCGGGAAGGTAATGTGTATCTGTATATATATAAAAGTGTAAATAGAAAAATATAGAAATAGAATTGCATGCTTAAGTACTTTACTTAACTTTGTATATATCAGCATATACGTCAAGAAGCATTTCATGGATTAGCTTCCGTTGTCACTAATTATGAATAGGATTGCTCTATAACCTCTGTAAAAATGGTACTTCTCTTTTTTTCACTTCATTAGTAATTGCTTTGCTGGTTATAGGTTTTTTACAAAATTTGCTGGTTATTCATAGAACGATTTTTCACGTTGTTATGGAATGTTTTTTGGTCAATATATGGAATGTTTTTATTTATAAAAAAGGGTTAAATCTTATTTTCGTCGACAATATGTATGGTGGAGAATCTTAAATTATAAATACATTAATAATCCATCCTACTTGGATCCCTTGCATTGGTGAATGGCCACTAGCTTGGAACTTACTTATACTTATATTATAATACTACAATACGAGCTAATGATTTATCTAATCACCTTCAAATAGTTATATTGCTATTTATTTTATTTTACGTACTTAATATGTATTATCTAACATAGATTAAAGATTAAAAATGATAGTTTGTGTTCAACATGGGGACCGCTTAATTAAACTGTTAGCTCCATGAGTCCATATTGGCCAATGGATATCCACTTATATGATTCTCAGAACTATAATATCTGGATACCCACTTAACTATGAATATTATTCAAGACCGTAAACGTGCAATTGTAATAACCTTATTGGCCAATAATTTTTGGGGAATTGTAATGTGAATAGATCAATGTATTCTTAAGTGATCTAGGACAAAGACGTCCAGGCATACGTTGAGATCTTATTGGTGGGATCATTTGATAAAGAATACTCAAGAAACAATTAGGGATTCCACAGCGACGTATGAGACGACCCTACTGTCTCATCGTTAACTAATCCAAGAAAGAGAGTTTTGGTTTTGTGCTAATGAGATTGATTGATTCTTACGAGGGTGAATTCCTGAAGAAATGGTAAAGAGTGCTTAGACATCTTTCGTTAGGGGGAATTCATATCTTCGAATTTTAGAACAAGTAACTATATTAACTTATAAATACGATAAACATTATATACAAATATGTCAAGAATTATACAAAAATCTTAAAATATTAATAAGTGCATGTGTACCCTATAATAATTTTGTTTAATGGCTAGATACGTAGACCAATTAAATAGATGGGTTGATAGATAAATAAGTAGATATATAGCCACAAGTTTATCAATAGATTCCTTTTATGGAAGAAAAAAATAGTTTATCCATTGACTACGAGAAATTTAGCAGAGAAATTAGAATATTAATGCTAACTAATTAGTATCGCATATAATGCGCACTAAAAGAAAGAAAGAAATAAGATGAAGTGTTTGATTGTCACTATTAAAGATAGAAGGTATAGGTTCCACCTTTTCTAATGAGTACTTGAAGGATTATAAGAGCATATGGAATCTAAATACAGTATTGCTATAGTCTACTAGAGACATGCCCTATGCGATCCACAACCATTGGACCTACAGAAACTTAGGCTTTATGCTACATTCCTTAGCCATTTCTATGACATAAACCATTCGTCGATATGTTTATTCGTATTCTCTTACTCATCACATCTATACTGTTATGTTTAATAGGTGTCAATTAGAGTCGAATGCAAGAACCAATTCAGCGGCAATACTGATTTTATGGGATGATATATTTAAGTTTTAGGATTAGATTTCACCTAATTTTTAGCCAGTTATATTAGGTTTAGGATCGATAGTTTGCTAGTTTTGTTTACTGATTTCATGTATGCATGTTTTAAAATTATTTTCATTATTTACAATTATATTAGTTTAAACGCGACAAATATGTATAACTACTCTACAGATGATGTTTAATAAAGTAAGTGTTTGTGGTTAATATTGTTTTTTTTTAAAAGGTTGTGGTTAATATTGTTTTTTTTTTGTGGTTAATATTGTTATTGAGCAGTTTACACATTATTGATAATTGCAGATTTTTTGTAACCTTATAATTGCATTTTATAATATAGTCTAATAATAATAAAATATTTAAAAATGATTTTTTCTTTTATCAAATATTTTAAAATGATTTTTTTTTATAACTAAACACATAGAAAATCATTTTGATTGAAGCGTTTTACAATGTTATAGAACGATGCAAAGCATTTCATATGATTGATTTCAAATACATACATTCACAAACAAAAATGTTTGAGGGTAGTTGCAGATTATCAACCTTTTGAACTTTAGAGCTGAGATTGAGACAAACCTAACCTACTTCAAGTTGGCATCTGAAAATACATAATGACTTGTTTGGACTCAGAGTCCGACTGACACAACTGGGTACATCTGCAAAGGGAACCAAGGGCCAGTCCAATCTTGCCGAAGGCCATGCACAATATTAGAAAATAGTTGGGAAAAAAAAAAAAAAAAAAAAAAAAAAGAACAAAGAAAAAAAAAGTACCCTATCTGGTAGAAAATAGTACCCTATCTGGTATTTAAAATGTTAAAAACTATTTTTTTCCTCAAATTAAAATTTTAGTGATTTGAAACCCTAGTTGATGGCTTCGTTTGTTAATGGTTTGGACCCGCTTTGAAGAAAACTTGTACAGGTTTTATCAACTATAATGTGTGTCTCCATGCAGGCAAACAGAGATATTAATATACGACTAACACGTACTGAGAGATAAGTTTGCACGATGATAAGATGAGTTGTCATGTAACAACGCTATTGGATGGGACATGGTGATTAGTGAAATTCCAACTCGTTATAATGGTCAAAGTATTGCTAAAATCTCACTTTTTACCAGTGATTCTTATCCATCCAAATGTTGAATGTGCGCATAACAGAGTTGATTTGAAGACTTTTTTTGACTATATCCACTCTTCCACAAACAAACAAGAGATTTATAGGTCATGGAATCTTTTACTAATCACTTTTTCATTCGAAATATAAAGTTTCTGCAGATATAGACTAAGTTAACACGAAAATATCTTAAGATATCTTAAAGTGATCAAAACGATTGAAAAATATAGAAAATGGATAAGAAATTAATCTACTAGTGTGCTTATATATATCATTCGTTCGTAAGATTTCCCTAAAAGTTTTTTTTTTTTCCTACCGGTCACGTTGGTTTCAACTTTCAACTAGATTTATCTAGATACTAAATAATATGATTCATATTTTCTGGTATGATCATGTAGTTTCGTTGAATCGGAAAATACACATCATTCTAAGCGCAGTGCCCACTAAGTACGAAGAGATATATCCTTCTGATAGTTAAAAGATGTAAATCATTTTCATTAAAACTTTATTATTAGTTCTCTCCTCTATAAAATGTAAATCACAAGCCCTCTAGTGAATGAATCTTGAAAGATTTTGTCACGAAGAAAAACACGATTAGATTCGGTAATCGACAAGATGCAGAGAGACTAACAAAACAAATAAAGTCTAGTTATTTCTCAAGGAATAAAAAAAGGAGTCTAGTTTTGTATAACTTTCATCGTGATTTGTAAGCCATCGCAAATTAGTTAGGGCTTGACTGGTTCTTCCGCCATCACCTGCAAACACACAACTTTTGCACTTGGTAGTGGTTATTGACGTTTTACAACAATCACAGAAAATGCTATATATCGTTTTAAATCATTCTGGATCTCTAAAATTCAAAAACTGGTTTCAGCTAGTATTTGTGGTTGCGGATGATTCCGAAAAAATAAAAATATTTTTTTTCCAAAAACTATATAAATATAAAAATAAAATATTCAATTAAAATTGTAAATTAAAATAATTGAAATATCAAAATATTTATATTATAAAATTTCCAAAAAAAAATTCTTTAATTTAAAAAAAAAATAGTGCAGTTTTATCAATAATTTTATATTTATTATGAAAATATGATTATAATATTTTGATAATTATATAAAATATAAATATTGTTAATTTATTACTTAACCGCTGATGTATTTGATAATAAATTAGTCATAAGTATCCCGCAAACATAATAATTTTTAACCATTGAACCAGTCATCTAAATCTCTTATTAACGCTTAAAATCGTAATCTTCCGCATCCGCGAAAGCCACCGTAATCGCTGCTCTGTAACCAAGCCATAAATCAATCAAGATCTTCATTTGGGTCTAAATTGTTCAACCCTACATTCGCGGCCCAAATTAAACAATCCAAACGCAAAATCACCTCACCTCGAAGGCCCAAATAGTAAACGCCAACGAAACCTTTTGCTCAAAAGTCAAACAAAACCACTCATCTAAACCACAAGACTTCACAAAACAAAACAGAATCTCAAAAAAAAAAAAACCAAACTCTCTCTCGATGTCTGATCCAGAGATAAACTTCTGGGGAGACACACCAGAACAAGACTACTTCAAACTCAAAGGCATCACCGGCTCCAAATCCCACTTCACATCCCCTCGTGGTCTCAACCTCTTCACCCGCTCATGGCTCCCCTCTTCTCCTCCACGTGGCCTCATCCTAATGGTCCACGGCTACGGCAACGACATCAGCTGGACATTCCAGTCCACATCAATCTTCCTCGCTCAAAACGGCTTCGCCTGCTTCGCTCTCGACATCGAAGGCCACGGCAGATCCGAAGGCGTACGCGCCTACGTCCCCTCCGTTGATGACGTCATCAACGACGTCATCTCATTCTTCGACACGATCAAGAAACAACCAAAGTACCAAACTCTCCCGCGGTTTCTCTTCGGAGAATCAATGGGAGGAGCGATCTCTCTCCTCATCCACTTTTCTGATCCGTTAGGGTTCCACGGAGCGGTTCTCGTCGCTCCGATGTGTAAAATCTCCGACAAGGTGAGACCAAAGTGGCCGATCGATCAGTTCCTCATAACGATCTCGAGATTCGTTCCGACATGGGCCATTGTTCCGACAGAGGATCTGTTGGAGAAGTGTATCAAAGTCGAGGAGAAGAAACCGGTAGCGAAGAGGAATCCGATGAGGTATAGTGGGAAGCCGAGGCTGGGGACGGTGATGGAGCTGCTTAGGGTTACGGATTACTTGGGGAAGAAGCTAAAAGATGTGAGTGTTCCTTTTATTGTGTTGCACGGAAGTGCGGATGTTGTGACGGATCCTGAGGTGAGTAGGGAGTTGTATGAGAGTGCTGAGAGTGGAGATAAGACGTTGAAGATTTATGATGGGATGATGCATTCGATGTTGTTTGGTGAGACTGATGAGAATGTTGAGATTGTTCGTAAGGATATTGTTGGTTGGTTGAATGATAGGTGTGGTGGTGACAGAACCTAGGGTTTGGATTCTCTGTTTTGTTTTGATGATTTAATGTTGTGTATAGTATTCATGTTTTATCAAGAAACAATGTATTTGGGGTTTAAGTGGCTAGATATTGATATGTATATCAATCACATTGTTCTTGCATATTTTTCTTGATAATGGTCAATTTTAAGCTCAGTTTCTTTAGTTGAATAGTTTTCTACTGTATTTTTCTTGCCAACAGCTCATGGGGCTATTGAATTGATTTTGAAGTTTGTTTGGTGTTTTGATTAAATAACCACAAAAGTTGCTTCTTTGGATGTTTAGTACACTGTTCTTTAATGTACTTCCTTGGCTCTTTCTTGCTTATGTATCTCTTACCTGGCTGGCTTTTTATGTTCTAAAGAATTTGGCATTATTTTAATAGAAGTGTTTGTGAGTCAATGGTGTTAATTTTGATAGAAAGTGTTTTTGAGCCGATGGTGTTTCGCTTATGGATTCAAAATATATTAGTTGATTCAAAACATAAATTCAAACTTGCAAGGGATTTCAAATACGAATCTTAGCTAGTACTTAAAAAAATATCTTAACTGATTATAGTATCATTTAGTCATTATCTAAATTCAAAATGGTCAAAGAAAGACTAATTAATTACGATCTTTGCAACATATGTTTTGAGCATTAGAAAATTACACAAAGATAAGCACCCCAAAAAATGTGTTCATAATTTGACTTAACAATATTTTCCAAGTGTTCAACAAAGTAACTACGGTTTCTACATTGGAATTTGCACATTGATATACTAGATCTATTTTAAGAAGCTTGACTCGAACTTAGAAGAGCCAACGCTTTCGATCTTTTGCAGTACACGGTGAGAAGATACTATTCAAGTTTTTAGACAAAATTATCTTTAGCTAAGTTTGAAGGAAAATGACAAAAGAAGAGAGAGCGAGAGGTAGAGGTAGACACGGAAACAAATGTGGACTGTTTCAAAACTGTAAACAAATGAAAGAGAAAAAGGAGAGAAAATTTCAAAATTTAACAAAAACAACACAAATCAAACAGTGTTTATAGTCGCCGGAGTATCTCTGAAGAGTTTCTTCACCATCGTCAAAGTTCAAGGAGTAACTCCATGGATCATACTGAAACATAGTCTGCTTCTGCTTCTTCTTCTTCTTCNTGGACTGTTTCAAAACTGTAAACAAATGAAAGAGAAAAAGGAGAGAAAATTTCAAAATTTAACAAAAACAACACAAATCAAACAGTGTTTATAGTCGCCGGAGTATCTCTGAAGAGTTTCTTCACCATCGTCAAAGTTCAAGGAGTAACTCCATGGATCATACTGAAACATAGTCTGCTTCTGCTTCTTCTTCTTCTTCTTCGTCTTCTTGACCGCCTCCTTCACCTTCTGAAACATCTTCTTCACAGCCTCTAGACTCATTTTACTCAGAATGTTGAAATGAACCTTTTCTAAATTGTAAAGGGTCTTTTGAAAATGGATGAAAGTTTCGATCTTGTGGGGTTTTGGAGCAGAGGAAGAAAGAGTGTATGAGAAAAAGTGTTCAGCTTTTTTTGGGTGGTTGAATCCGTGCGAGGAATTTACATTGGGCTTCACGAGAAAGAGATGTAACAGAAGGAGAAGAAACTTTGGGCAGAGTGCTTACTCTGTTTTTTTCCTTTAACTGTTTGGTCTTTGTCTCCTACTATCTCAACGAATCAATAATTCCTTCTTTTTTTTAACAGTTGATATTTGAAAACAATGAAATAAAAGGAATAATTTTAGTCAAAGTACTAAAAAAAAAACTTGTACTTTTATTCATTTAAGATTTTGAATTAAATGAATATGGGAATTATAAAAAATAAAATCAGATATAGTGAAATTTGTTTTGTTGTTGAGATTTTATACTTTTCCACTGTATCTAAGATCACTTTCAAATTATTTTATTTATTTAGGTGATTACGTATTTTATGGGGGATTGGTAACGTTGTACAATTTGAATATACTATTAAATAGGTTATTGTTAAGTTTCAATTATATCCGAATTGACCAGATCTTTTTATTAACAGTTTTTCACCAACCAATCTCATTTAAACGTCTGAGCTGGAACACCAAAATAATCCATACATGGTTTTATTTCATACTGATGTTGTTAAAATGAATCTGGAAAAGTGTTTTCTTGTTTGTTTTTAATTTAGTTAAAATTCAGTAAAACATTTTTGTAAAAATAATATTGAAAATGAAGTTATAGATGATCTTATATAACACTTGTTATCATCTTAAAAATCTACACAAATTCAAGATAATATACTCTACTGTCTTAATTTCATATTGGACAGTGGACATGCGTGACTAGTAGATACGTAACATATTGAAGTTATAAGATTCTCTTAATATTTGATAAAAAAAAAAAACTCTTAATATAACACTTTTTCATTAAACTAAAAATAGTATTTTATTATGTTTAGTAAACAAACATCACTATTCTCTTTGTAATTCTCAAGAAAAGCTGTGTAATAAAAGAACAACATGTGTGTCCCCAAAAAGTTACATTTAAAAAATAATTCTAATAAAATCCCAAAACTTTCACATTCTCACATATCAGCCCCACTTGCTCCCTCTCTTCTCCTTCTTCATCTCACTCCTCACACCTCTCTCTCTGTTTTTCACCTTAACGAACTCACAACATTCTCCAGACTAACTTATAATATCAGAAATGAGAGAGCTTGAGCGCTTGAAGACGAGCATGAACCATCATCAATGGCCTCCCATTGGAGCTCCGATGAATCTCCGGCGAGAAGAACTAAGTAAATCTCCATTAGAAGACTCAGTTAACGCCGTCTCCTTTGGTTTCGTAGCTACAGCCATTCTCATCTCAATGTTCCTCGTCATGGCTATCTTTGAGAAACTCATTAGAACAACTACTAACCAAGATTCCTCTCCTGGTCGGATCCTCCCGGGTATGGATTCTCGGGTCGGGTTTAGTGGTGCATCATCATCTAAGCTCGGTTATCAATCTCCCAAGGCAAGTTACTTTACCTTTTTAATACAAAGACTAATGTCGTAACACACAATGTTTCTTTAACTGTCGTAATCTTTGTCTGCTCTGTTAAGTGTTGACACATTTTTTGACTAATCGTTTAGTCTTTTGTTTAGTTATTCCAAAAAAAAAAAGATTACATTTTTTAATCTCAGGGGTTATTTTCATTTGATGTTTTAACACGTTCATACCAAAAGCAGAAGAAGAAAACATAAAAAGGGGTTTGAACTTTTGATTATGTGTACTATTTGAGTATTGAAAGAGACCCAACAATGCACATGCTTTTACTTACATCATCAACATTTAAAGATGTCTCATAAGCTTCTTTACTCACACATGCATACATACACTGTGGAGCTAATATGTAGATGTGGTGGTTCATTCATTGATTCTTTTCGTCATTCAGAATCTTTTTCTCGTCTTCGTCATAATGGTGAAGGAAGGAGACAAGAAACAAGTGTAATAAAGTTTTGTTTGTTGAAGATTTTTGATTCTTTTGTTAGTATTATTGTTGTAGATGGATAATGAGGAGTGAGGACTAACGTCTAAGTCTAAAACCATGTGTGACTGACATGTCCTTAGGAACACAAATGGCCCCACAAGCTTTCTTGAAACCTAACATTCCTCCTATGCTATAGTTTAATCATGTTCTTGGGGGTTAACTAGTTTTATTGAGATTGCATTGTTTGTGTTTTGAGAAATGATTTTTAAGCTTGAATTAGTCCTTCCCTGATGATTATGGGCTCCTCCTTTTATACTTTGTTAGATATACTCGTTTTGATAAAAAGACTGATTGGCATTTATGATTGATTTTACATGGTCATGGACCAAAACCATGTGATCAAAGTCTAGATAGAAGCATTCAAAAACATGGGATGACCCCATAAATGTAAAGTTAGGACAAGTGTGTTTGCTCTTTTCTTTCCTCTTTAACTTGAGCTGCTGTTGGGGGAACAATGACAGATGTTTTCAGATCTTTCATTGTCTTCTCCCTCTCAGTTTCCTCATTTGCTTATGTTCTGTTATTTATTATTCTATCTGTTGGAAAGAAGTTGTGTTGTATTTTCCTTAAGTTTATTGAATGGCTGATTAATGATACGCATGCAGATGACTGTTTACACGAACGGTGTATCGGTATTGATGCCAGGAGATGATATCCCTACTTTCATTGCTCATCCAGTGCCCATGCCTCGTCCTCCTCAACACATCTCACAGTCTCAGCATCAACATAGCTCATCAAGAGATTCCTCCAGCTCAAACTCCATTCAAGAATGTTGAAAGACTGTTTTCTTTATCAATGTTTTCTTCGGATGATCCCACTACATTTATTGGGTTCATGGAGATTATTTATCCGTATTTTGTGTACATAGATTCAGGATTTGACTTGATTTGGGTTTTGTATAGTTTTTTTTTTCCTATCATTTGCTAGTTACATGAATTAGTTGCAGAGAATAGAACAGAGTAGTGGCAATATGCACAAAAACATTTGTTGACAATATGCAACTACATTTATCAAACAGAGTTCTGAATATAAAGCAAAAACAAAGCCAAAACATGTAGTATATGCAATTTAAAACTCACAATTAACATCTAGAATGATCTCTCTCATCGCTACGTATAATGTCATTTTTTCATTAGTGTTTGGTAGCAAAGAGGAGACGTTGAAATTATTGCCTTTAGTTGCTTGACGGGGTAAATGATCTAAGATTATACCGTTGTATATTAAAACTCTTCCACTTTTAGCTATTCAATCTCAATAAGACTATAGTATTTAGTTAACATCATGCATTACTTCTTTTATAGAAATTACTTGTCAACCACCTATATATCAATCAGATAAACTTGCAAAATGTGTTCTTTTATGTATTTAGTAATATAAACTATAACGTTTTACCGCTATTGCTTGTTTTGGGATGTCTTCAAACTTTTTACTTTGCTCAAATTCTAGCACGTAACATAAACTAGATGGTAATTTTCATTGGCTAAATATCTGATGCAACTTATTAAAGATCTTATGGTAAACGTATAAACCAATCGGCTTAACATACTAAGGTTCAGTGACCGGTGAGTTTTCTGATTCTTTAAGTGAAACTTTTTTTTTTGCTGCAAAACTAGTCTTAGGGTTGAGTTTTAGTATTGTGTATCACAGTATATCAGATATATTATGGAACATGGTATGCCGTCTACGAAGTCGATCAAACCATCATTTGTTAAAAAAAGAAACACTGCTCAAGATGTGGTAAGCTTTGATTTCACTTTATAGTTTATTATGCTGTTGTTTCAACGACATAATGCTTGAGTTGAGTCTTGCAGAGTAAATCTTGGTGGAGAATAAAGCCCTTCTTGGCTCTTATATGTGTAGCACTTGTAATCTTTTGGTATAAGACCACACATATTCAATTTGAAAAGACAGAGGTATAGTGCTATATCGTTATGATCTCTGTGGATGTGCTGATTTGATTAATTGATAAGTAAACTCTTTTTTTTTTCCTACCCTTCAGCTAGAAGAAGCAGATTATCCCTTGGACATGGCTAAGGTAACATTTTTCATACTCTAAATTTTTTCTTGTTTTCTAGTTTAATGTAACGTTCAGTCATGGACTGTATCCAGGAATCAGAACCAGTCAACGAGAAGTTAAAAGGCTTGCCCCGTGGTATCATAGAGCCTAGATCAGACTTCGAACTAAAGCCTCTCTGGTCTAGTAGTAGTTTGAGGACAAAGGTTATAGTGCTATTGCATCAAGAAGCGTGACATATATTGCTTTTCTGATGTGTGTTGTGATTGTTAAACACAGGGTTTAAAAATGACTAACCGTAACTTGTTGGCCATACCCGTAGGAATTAAGCAAAAGGCTAACGTTGACACTATTGTAAAGAAGGTATTGCAACTTTTTTTGGTTAGGTTACAGAGGTTGGTTTCCTTTTAATGTAAAGCCTCTTGCGTCGTCTCTCAGTTTCTTTCAGCGAATTTCACGGTTGTTCTGTTTCATTACGATGGTAATATGGATCAATGGTGGGATCTGGAGTGGAGTTCTAAGGCCATACATATAGTTGCACAGGAACAGACTAAATGGTTGTTTTCTTTTGTGAAGATAATATAACACAGAGAGAATGTTGTAACATTAGTTAATATTCCTGATCTCTTGATTTTTAGGTGGTTTGCAAAACGATTTCTGCATCCTGATATTGTATCAATTTATGATTATATATTTATTTGGGATGAGGATCTTGGAGTAGAGAATTTCACACCAGCGAGGTAAACTTCTTTAATTATTCTTATAGCTTGTACTACAAGTTATGATGAGTGTGACACCATTTTTCTACAGGTATTTGGAAATAGTTAAATCAGAGGGACTAGAGATATCTCAACCGGCTTTGGATTCAAACTCGAGTGGAATCCACCACAAGATCACAGTCCGTTCTAGTACAGCCATATTTCATAGGTTCCATTTATTCATTTATTAGGAGAGCTTTTTGTTTGTTTGTTTGTTTGTTTGTTATCTACGCAAGCTTACGACATGATGCCAAAAAAACACAGGAGAGTTTACATTAATAGAGGCCATAGAAGGTGTTCTGATGCAAGCCAAGATCCTCCTTGCACAGGGTAATGATTTCGTAGGCAGGCGATGAATCATTTCTGTTTACTGTTGAGTATTACATTGATACACTTTTGTTTCGTTAGATTTGTTGAAGGGATGGCTCCAGTTTTTTCAAGAGCTGCTTGGTTTTGCACTTGGAATCTTATACAAGTAAAATTTTCACTTCCTATTTATTTATCTACAGAAGTTAACTGACACCTTTAGTAATTATTTCCACTTGCTTTCATTTTGTAGAATGATTTGGTTCATGGATGGGGAATGGATATGAAACTAGGTTATTGTGCACAGGTTATCTTCTTTTCTTATAAAAGTCGAAATTCTCACTCAAGATTTTGTTTCTAACTTAGTATATATATCTTGACAAAAAAAAAACCCTTAGTATATATATCTTGCTGAAATGAACCATCTAGTTAGTCCTTTTAAAAACTTCAACTTGTGAACATGGTTTTGACCGTTGTAGGGAGACAAAACGAAGAACGTAGGGATCGTGGATAGTGAGTATATCTTTCATCAAGGCATTCAAACTTTAGGTGAAAGTGGACACTCTGAGAAGAAGGTAGGCTTTCTGAGATAAGTTTTGATTCAAGATCACACGTTTATGATTCTTTTTCGTTTTGATATTTTCAAGAGACATGGCCATGATTCGAGAACCTCGGTGAGTAAATCTCCATCAGATTCTTCTTAGAAGAAACATCATAGTGTATACTTGAATGGTTTTTTGATGAAACAAAGTAGATAAGGAGGCAGTCCACATGGGAGCTTCAAACTTTTGAAGAGCGATGGAACAAAGCGGTGGAAGAAGACAAGAACTGGATCGATCCATCTTCATCGAAGCGGAAGAGTAACGGTAGTAACAGCAGATTGAGGCGTGGTAAGAGAATTCAAGAGACAACAACAGCATAAAACACTTATATAAAAAGCATAAAACTGATTTTTATACACACACAGCGTTTGTAAATAATTTTATTGTCCTATTTTTCCTTAACAAGTGTTTTCTTTGAATATGAAACTGGTTTGTTTTTTAATTAATAGAAGCTCATATGTATTTTCAACACTAAAAGCTATTTTAAATCAAGCTACATATTAAAAACTTACTCGATACTCGTCTTATACTCGTGATCTAACCCGAATTCACCTTGAAAAACCAAGTACTTGCTGTTAGCAAAACAAGTAAAAGCATCTCTAAAAGTTGAATTTTAACAGAATATAAGAATCCGTTTCTTAGTTTTTAACTACATGTTCTTAAATGTCTTATCGTGAACAAATTGATACTACCATTAAGGTTACTTTTTTGGAAATTCATGTGAGGCTATCATATGATGTGTGCTGAAGCTACTGTACAGCTTTTATTCGTTATGAGTTTTCAATTAGAGCAATCGTATGTAAAACAAAAGTTCTTAAAAACAAAATAATAATATTTAAATTAATACTATGTTTTGACTTAAATTAAATTATTAGATTAGTTAGATATAGACAAGTGGAAAATAATGCATTTATATGAAAACATGTGGAAGTCAATAATGTTCAAAGGAGTTCTGACCAGAACCTATCCCTCTCTTTCCTCAATTTGTCTTATCTTTCACAGAACTAGTTTTTTCCGTGTGTGGAGGACATCATCCTTCACCACTAGTCAACTCTTTTATTTTTGATATACAAACCCAATGTCAAAAGAAAAAAATAGTCGGTTGGGCCTTGTTGATAGATCGCTCAACGTGTTCATTTAATATTCTTGTGATTGGAGGAGAAGGCTTTGGTAGGCATGGCTGGTCGCTTGGACGAAGGAGAAGAAGTCAATCCTTTTGCTGTAAATCTTTCCTTCACTGTTCTTTGTTTTTATCCCTGAAAGTGTGCTTGCTTGCTTGCTTGTGTAATTTCCATTAAAGTTTTGGGGTGTATTGGGATCTTATCACATATCACTGTTACTTAGGGCCATTTATTATACGTTTGTTGAACTATGGAGATGAGTCAGTAATCGAATAGTAGCTAGTTGTGATAATGTAATCCAATTTTGTTGAAACCTGCTGGTTTTGGCTTTAATTGATTATGATGGGGAGTAGTAGATATTTTTGTGATCATGTGGATATGCTTGGATTAGTTTTTTGAATGATTTTTTTTTTCCGTTGTTTTTGAAGAAAGAGAAGGAGCTGGAAGCTAAAGAAGTTGAGCTTCAGCGACGCGAGCAGGTTTCAACTGCAATTAATATTTAATACTACATTACATCATCTGAAACTTATAGTTACAGTTTCATTAAAAGTAAAAGAAGTTATTGAATGAATTTATAGTATTGTTTCTCTGTAGGATCTCAAACGGAAAGAGGATGCTGCTGCACGAGGTACAATGTCTTCTTTTTTATCATTTACGTAACCTGTTGCATTAATTACAGTCAACTAGATGATTTTTTTTCTGTTATTTTTTTTCACCTCTTGTCTTGATGATACGCGTCTCTACACTTTCCTTTTTTAATTTCAATCTTATGTTACTTTGTTTTCTTTGTAGCGGGAGTTGTTATGGAGGTGAAAAACTGGCCGCCCTTGTTCCCACTTATCCACCACGACATTGCACATGATATTCCCATCCCTCTCCAAACTCTACAGTATACTGCATTTGCAACTTATTTAGGTACGTAGTCTTGTCTTACTTGGACTTATTTCCACAGGCACTCACTCTTATTTACTTGTTTTATGTCCAAAATATATAGGATTGGTTCTTGCTCTTTTCTGGAATATCATCGCCGTTACTACTGCTTGGATCAAAGGAGAAGGTAGACTCTTCTTGTTCTCTTAACTACTTGACCAATTAAGACTTCTGTAATGGATCTTAATTAAGACTTTAATTTGTTTGTGTTCTTCAGGAGTGACGATTTGGCTACTTGCTCTTATTTACTTCATATCGGGTGTCCCAGGAGGCTATGTCTTATGGTATCGCCCTCTCTACCGTGCCTAAAGGTTCTTATTATTTCTCATTCCCTAGTCTCCTAGTGTTGGCAATATATATTTTTTTTTCTTCCTACTTATAAATACATATTCTCTTACGCAATGTGTATTTTGTGTTGGATTCCTGCAGAAATGATAACGCGGCGAGCTTTGGATGGTTTTTCTTGTTCTACCTGGTGAGTACATTAGTGGTAATATCTTATAACCTGAGTGCTCTATGTGACACAGTTCCTTTCTTGCCACAGATGCACATATTTTTCTGCGTCTTTGCTGCTGTTTCTCCTCCTTTTCTTTTCAAAGGAAAATCACTTGCGTAAGTTTCCTCAAGTACTCACAGTTAATAGTTGCATATCTATCTAGCCTGTTATTAAAATTATTTTGATTGATTATTCTTCAAATTTACAGTGGCATATTACCTGCATTGGACATGTTGAGCAGTCAGGCATTGGTCGGAGTAAGCTATCTATCTCTTATGAGCTCACCTCTGATGAGGGACATGTTTTGATTATCTCATTGATTTTCTTGTTTTGTCTATCGTAGATCTTCTACTTCATCGGGTTTGCATTTTTCTGTCTTGAATTATTGGTCAGCATGTGGTCTATTCAGGTCTCTTTCCCAACCTCTCTGAATCTCTGTATTGTTTATTGTTGACATTTGAATATCGTCGTCCATTTTATTTTGTTGCAGCAAGTATACTATGAGATGCGACGGGATGATGCAAGAGGAAGACCAGTCCTGAGATTTTGGGGGCCATAGACGGTTTTTAAAAAATTCCATTTAAAATTTTCATATGAATATGCAAAATGATTTCAAATCATCATCTCTCCTTAAGCCTCCTCATCATTTGTTTTCTTTAAAGCGTTTAAGTAAATTCTCATGTATATTTATTTGTGCTTGCCAATTTTTTCAGATATCGTTTCTGAAGGAACACCTTATATTTCTTAAAAACTTTATTTATGTACAAATACTAGTTTCATAAACTTTGCATTATTGTTAGGCTGTTTCTAACCACATGATGATGACTAGTGACTGTAGTGTATATCAGAAACAAATTGCAATTTGAAAACTTGGATATTACCGAACAGGAAGTGATTTTTATGGCGGCTAAAGAAGCAAGAGCTTGGCAATCAGCCCAGCCTGAAAAGATAAGCCATCATCATCTCCTACGACCAAGAACAGAGCACCACAGCCGTGTGGTTTGGCACAATCAACTAAATGTTTTGTGGAAGCTGCTTGGAATGCAACGTGGAGGCTTCGGTTGCATCTTCAAGGATCTCTCCAGCAACATCACCACTCATCAAGTCTCAGCAAACTGTTGCATAGTCGGTTCTGCCTTTATTGCAGAAGTTATAGCGGTTAAAACTGCTCTCTTACAAGCAGTACGCTTAGGAATAAAAACGCTGACTGTCTGGTCAGATTCAGAGTCTCTTATCTCATCCATCTCTACACACAAGAAGACCATTGAAGTGCAGAGTGTGCTTTTCAATATCGATCACCTTTGTTCTATGTTTACCTCTATTTCCTTTCACTTTATACTAAGGCTACAAAATGCTGAATGACTGTTTAGCTAAGCATGCTTTGTTGAACCTTTATAACTTTGGTTGAGTTGCTCTAAATTAACGAAGGTTTGTTAAAAAAAAAAAAATATTCCCCTGTTTCCATTTTCTCCCAACAATTTGGTGTTACCTTATTTTTCTCACGTGAATTTTGTTGTTAGTCTGCAAATTTTATTAAGAAACATTTTATATATCTGACTTTCGGTGAATACCTAAAAGATGTAAGCTTTTTGTGTTTTAGGCACGTGAATTTAGTGCAAAAATGGAAGGGAGTATCTATTAGATTATTATTAACCATCATGAAGCACTTTAAGACTGTCAGAATATTTTGTCGCTTTTAGATGTACTAACCTACTTTCGAGTTATTTATCCTTAGTGGGATTACAAGTTGGTGTCCGCTTTTTAAGTAAAGCTACTGACTTTTTCTCATAACTAATTATTGATTCTAAGCTTGCAGACATCGATGCAATGCACCTGGATAGAGTCTATCTATTGTGCATTTTTAGATTACAACTGTGGTTTACCAACCCTCAAAGCCATCAAAAGATCATTATCTTCATTAGTCATTAGTAACCAATATATATATATACGAAATAATTAATAAGAATCGACTGATAATGAAAATCCTTGTATAAAAAATAATAATAATTAACAATAAAAAATAGTTATCTAAATTTATTTAGTCTTAAATATAAAAATTGAATAACACCATAAATTCATTGCTATTAAATATTATCTTAGTGTACAGTATTTTCATGTATTGGAATTCTGTAGAACCATAATCTGATAAACAAAACCCCTATTAAACAAAATCGAATAAGATCGAGTTAATTAGTAAAGTAAATTAAAGTAAGATCTTAATCTAATCCAAAGGCCAAGGGGGGCGGCGAGGGGCAAAAACGTCTAAGCTGATAGTGAATAATAAATTGAGAGATCAAACTTGTAATATTAGCCAAACCCAAGGTTGTTTTGTAGAACAACTTTAACGTTTATATAAAGACCTATGAATCCCTTGTGGGTAAGTAGCAACAAATCAAACATTCTTGTTCATCACTTTACTCATTCCTTTTTCTTCTCTCGAGACTTTCCTAAAGACTTTTACCCACTTTCTTCTTCTTCGTCTCTCAAGACTTTCCAGAAGACTTTTGAACTCTAATTGACTTCAATAAGCAGAAAATGGAAGGGAGAGGAAAAATCAGCATGATCAACGGCGGAAATGGAACTAGGAGAGGTACCAGAGAACACAGTAGCCGTCCGATACCAAAGAGAGGGCAAGTCAAAGTTGGGATTTTGCTTGGCGTTGCTAGTTCTTTTGCTTCTATCTTTGGCTCCACGAGAAACTTTCTTGGATCCTAAACTGCTGCTTCTCACATTAAATATTTTTAATGATTTCTTCAGAACTGTTATGTGGTTTATTAGAGTGACATCTCATATTAAAGATTGATGACCATGTTTAGTCTCTAGGTTGTTGAGTTTCTTTTTGTTTCATCTTTTTTTTGTACAAATCCAATGTAGTGTCAAGAGTCACTTGATCGATAGTATATATTTCATATTTAGTTTTAACATTTCATAGTATATAAAACAAATTAACACACGGTGAAAATTAGCATATAACCTAATCCTAAACACATCAATATAAATAACTAGCCCGCGGGCATTAGCTGTCAAATGGAAATAGCTACAAAGAAAGAATGTCCGATGAGTCTTATTTTACTTTGCGAAATGACCAAATAATCTCCCTAATCAAATGCTTTGGTAATCCGGTTTGGTCCGGTTTTAGTTCAAGTGGCAGCAACTTCAGCATGAGTATCACTAAAAACCCGGTTTAGTATCATGGCTAGTCTAACTCCTCCTTGAACAATTCTCTTCATGACTATTGGCATCCTTGTATCAAAATACTCCTCTGCAAAAAGTATACATTTACGAAAATTCAGATTTATATTTTCTTATTAAACTCTAAATTAATTATGTCCTCACTATTTTATTTGGTTCATTTGTTTGCGTATAAGATAAAGAAGCAAACAATCTGTACCTGATAAGGTTTCACCTGACTTCACGCCTTCGTAGCCATATTTACAAGCTAACTTTATACTCTCAGAAGCATACCTGCAAATACAATAAGGATTATCCATTTTATCTATAATTTTTTTTTGGATCTATAGTTATCAGCCTAATTAATTTAAACTTACTTGTGTGGACAAGCGATAAGATCATTGCATTCTGTCCACGATGATAAATCGTCATGCCATAATCCCTAATATATAGGATAAACCATTTATATAACTCAAGTTAAAGGAATGATTATATGAAAATTATAGTAAAAAAAATATATATAAGTAACTAGTTAGTACATTGGTGATGTTCTTCTCAAGATCTTCTTGGAGAAGATCCAAGTCCTTGTCGTAGTATTCTTTAAGAGCCGTGAGAATGATCTCTCTGTCCCATACCTTCACATTTTCCTCATTAAGTAATCATTTTGTGTAATCAAATTCTTCAAAGTTGAAAAAGTTAAAAGGAAACTAAGCTTACATGATGTAAATTTGATTTGTGTTTGTACCAACGTAAATCTATTGTGTTTCCTCCTTCATCACTTGTGAATCCGACATGCATTGGCTTTTATGTAAGGAAAAGATATAACTATGTTACAAACTAATTAGACTAGGAAAATATAGCTATATATATGTGGAATGATGAGGAATAAACCTGATGAATATCTCCCATGAAATGAGACAAGAACAAAAGGGCTTCTGTCATGTTATCTATGAAATTAAACATAACATGCGACCAAAATAAAATAATCAGAGACAAAAAAATAAACACATTATATGGACTTCATATTTGTATAACATTATTATAAAAAGTAAATAAAGATAACGTACATCTACGATCAGATGTTCCTTCACCGTAATGCTGAAGTTGAGACGTGAAATTTTGGATTGCTCCATCCACACACATATCCTTTAACCCATGTTGATCATGACAATCCCCTATTTTATATATCAAAATTCAATTATTTTCACCTTATTCCGTAAGCGTGTAAAGTAAACCGGTTTTGGTTATCGTACTTGAGCACTGGTTTACTACGGTTAAGACCAATATAACCAAACAGATATAGTAAGCTAGAAACAGCTTTACGGTTTATGGGCTTACTGGAGTATTCGTAAGAGCAAGATTTGTCGGGAGTGTCGATGAAATGAAGAGGGCTGGTCCAACGGTACTTGTACCAATGTCTGATCTGGTCTGGCCATACACATAATGCCGATAAATCTCCATTTGCGTAATCCGGTAACAGATTTTCTACTATATGTGCTGGTCCTGCTTCTAAAAGTTTCTGTTCAACACAACATAAATTCACAAAGGACTTTTGTAAGAACTACCAAAGAATCTTTAAACTTGGTATGGCATAACATCCCACTTGTATGCCTAATCATCTATATAAAACAATAAGCAAAATACTTGTTTATAAAACACACAAAGATCATCAACTTACTTGAGCAATTCGGCATGTAAGAATATGACCTTCTTTGCTCCAACTTTGGACAGGAGAAACAGAACACAAAACCAATACACCAAATACAAGAATCAACCTTGTGGGTGATCTAAAGACCGATGCCATATCTCCAAACTTCAAATCTCTTCTTGTTTACGAGTGTCTTCTCTATATTCTCTTGTTTACAACAACTTGATAGAATTTGCAAACAGGAACACACAGAGACATATTATAAATGTAGCGAAAAAATAGACTTACAAGCTAAACTTATTACAAGTAATAACATAATAAAAGATGTTGAGTTTGTGTGCAAGCAAGACATTGCTAGTCTCATACGTTCCTATCGTAATTAAGGTTGACAACAGGAACACGAGATATACAACGTTAAGATAAAGTTATCAAATTAAAGCATATTCCTCAATTGTTAAAGTATCTTCTAACATATAGGAATTTGTGTTCAGTATATCATTTCCTTTCTCTTGTTGACCTAACTGATATATCCATTGAACATAACCATGAAAAACCTAAGTCAATTTAACATTTTCTTTTCAGTAAAAATCATTAATTTGTGTGTTCTATTTCTGTTGATCTTATTTAAAATCCAAACCGAAATCAAACCGTAAAAAGGAAAAAAAAAAAAAAAAATCTTAACCAAACCGGTCAAAGTCATCTAGAAACGTTGACTTTAAAAACCGGTCAACAAAGAACAGCTTCTGGTTCTTCACTATTGAAGAATAGTAATAGCATCAGACACAACACGGTGAAGTTCTCTTCTTGAATCGTTCCTCGTCTTCAACAGACATCACCTCCTTGTCTGAAATCAGGTTTGGATCCTCCTCTCTGCATAAAGCTTCGATCTTTAAGTGAGATCCTCAAGAGCTTCAAATGAAAGTTGTCCCCTTTTAGCTCGATTCACCTCTGTCTTCGTTTTGATTTCGAATCTTTTAGCTTCTTAATGAATAATTAGATTCTGGGTTTCTCTAGAGCATAACATCTGATTGAAAAGTCAGAAACTTTGTTAACTTTTATAGTTTTTGCTCTGCAGAATGGTTGATTTGTCTACTCTATCTCCTACGGAGATCACAGTGATGGGATCCGTATTCTGCGTTTTACTCTCAATGCACTTCACCATGCAGCTCATATCCCAACATCTCTTCTACTGGAAGAGCCCTAAACAACAAAAAGCCATCCTCATCATTGTTCTCATGGCTCCTGTTTACGCTATCACTTCCTTTCTGGGCTTGCTTGATGCTAAAGGAAGCAAAACCCTTTTCATGTTCCTAAACACCGTTAAAGATTGCTATGAGGCACTTGTAAGTTCTTTACTTCCCCTCTTTCTCTCTATGGCTGTTTCTTGATTTGTTGTATTGATTTTGATTTGTTTCAGGTCATTGCTAAGTTCTTGGCGTTGATGTGTAGCTACGTAAACATTTCCATGAGTGGAATGATTATCCCTGATGAGATTAAAGGGAGAGAGATTCACCATTCGTTTCCAGTGACTCTATTTGTTCCCAGGACTACACATTTAGATCACCGTACACTGACACAGCTCAAGCATTGGACGTGGCAGTTTTGTATTATCCGCCCTGTGTGTTCCTTCTTGATGGTATCACTGCAGCTTCTCGGGATTTATCCACCGTGGTTGAGCTGGATCTTCACTGTTACTCTAAACGTTTCGGTATATTTGGCTTTGTATTCTTTGGTGAAGTTTTACCATGTTTTTGCCAAAGAGTTGGATCCTCATAAGCCGCTTACAAAGTTCATGTGCGTCCAAGGGATAGTCTTCTTCTGCTTTTGGCAGGTATGTATACATAGTTTCTAACTTTTACTTAGTTGTTTGGATCATATGATAGGACATGGTGTAGCGAACCANTTTCGGTATATTTGGCTTTGTATTCTTTGGTGAAGTTTTACCATGTTTTTGCCAAAGAGTTGGATCCTCATAAGCCGCTTACAAAGTTCATGTGCGTCCAAGGGATAGTCTTCTTCTGCTTTTGGCAGGTATGTATACATAGTTTCTAACTTTTACTTAGTTGTTTGGATCATATGATAGGACATGGTGTAGCGAACCAAAGCCATATATAGAAGTCTTTGACTGGTCCTTGTAACAAACATAGTCTCTCATCTCAATAGACTTAGGATCATCACTTTATATTTTGGTGAAGTGATTGAACATTTGCTGAAAGCATTCATGTTCTTGTGCACATTGTTGTTCCTGTCTTGATCTTGAGAAACCTGTGTGTTGTGTTGTGCAGGGAGTAATGCTGAAGGTATTGGTGGGATTAGGATTAATAAAGTCTCAACACTTCTGGTTGGAGGTGGAGCAGCTTGGGGAAGCTCTGCAAAACGTGCTTGTGGTTCTTGAGATGATTGTCTTCTCCGTTATGCAGCAATACGCTTTTCATGTTGCTCCCTATAGTGGAGAAACCGAAGCTAAGATGAGAATGAACAAGAGGGATTGATTCCTGAAAGAGAGGATTTAGACCAGAGAAGAGTTATTTTTTTTTTTTTTTGTTAATGTGAATGTTACTGATTTTCTCTTAAGAACACATTTTGGATAGTGATTAATAAAGTTTCTTAGCTTCTCTCTAACGCTTGTCACTAAAAAGACAATGCATAATCTGATTGTTACATGGATTCTCAAAGGAAACAAAAACAAATATCTCTTTACTACCATTAACTAATTTAGTTAAGACAAAGTTATGCCATTAACTAATTTAGACAATTACCAAAACTGCTTGTGACTCTCATTCCAACATAACAAAATAATCCTCCCAACAAAACCTCCTCGTACTCAGACAGAGGATGACAATGATGATCATCATCATTCAAAAACATTGAAAAGAAAATCCACCCAAAAAAAAAATTGTACAAAATTTTAATTTAAAAGAGTAAAAAAAATGAATGATTTATTCTCAACAAATTCATTTAAGAGGAACCAAGCTCAGTTCGGAGATGTTGAGACAGGTCAAGAAACGATGAACCTCGACAAGTTCTTTGAAGACGTCGAGAATGTGAAAGATGACATGAAAGGAGTCGAGACTTTTTACAAGAAGCTTCAAGACTCCAACGAAGAATGCCAAACGGTGCACAATGCCAAGAAGGTTAAGGAGCTACGAGCTAAGATGGATGCTGACGTTGGTCAGGTTCTCAAGAGGGTCAAAATGATTAAACAGAAGCTTGAGGCCTTAGAGAAAGCAAACGCTAATAGCCGTAATGTACCGGGCTGTGGACCCGGTTCATCTACGGATAGGACCCGGTCCTCTGTGGTTAGTGGTCTTGGAAAGAAGCTAAAGGACTTGATGGATAGTTTCCAGAGTTTACGTGCACGGATGAATGATGAGTATAAAGAAACTGTAGAGCGCAGGTAGGTTTCTTGAGACGCAAGCTGTTGCTATGTTTGGTTTCTTGTGTTGCAAGAATATATGAATATGTTGGAATCATGCAGGTATTTTACAATAACAGGAGAAAAAGCTGACGAGCAGACAATAGATAACTTGATTGCGAGCGGTGAGAGTGAAAACTTTCTTCAAACAGCGATTCAAGAGCAAGGAAGAGGTCAGATCATGGACACCATATCAGAGATTCAAGAAAGACATGATGCAGTGAAGGAGATTGAGAAGAATCTAATTGAGTTGCATCAAGTTTTCTTGGACATGGCGGCTTTAGTGGAAGCGCAAGGGCAACAGCTTAACAATATAGAGAGCCATGTGGCTAAGGCGAGCTCGTTTGTGAGAAGAGGAACTGATCAGCTTCAAGATGCTAGGGAGTATCAAAAGAGCTCGAGGAAATGGACTTGTTACGCTATTATTCTCTTCATTGTTGTGTTTGCTCTCCTCCTTATTCCTCTTCTACCCCATATTATGCTCATGTTGAAATGAAATTTCTAGAGGATATGATTTTGTAGAAGAAGTTTTGAAACGTACACCGGATCGTTATTACGTGTATAACTATTATGACATTCTGATTTTTTTTTTCTATATATTATCTCCATCTTTAGTTCTTTATCTTACATATGAGGATGGTTCTGGATCCACACTGAACCATATATACAGTAATTTCAATACTTAGGGGATTCCGGTAACTCATGAACTGGTTTGTTTTCATCATCTGATAACAAATTTTAATCATCATTAGACTTGAGAGACAGAGAATCCTCATCACTAGTATCCAAAACAAACATTGGTTGTTTCGGTTTTGGAAGATCCATTGTAGACGTCAGCATTGTCACAACTTGTTTGATGTTTGGTCTGTCCATTGCTTGGTGCTGAACACATAGCAAACTTATCTGAACACATCTCATCACTGCTTCAACTGAATCTGACTCATAATCAGCAATGTCTTGATCCAGTAGTTCTACTCCCCCTGTTTCACTCCATGATTCCCATGCCTGTTACAATTAAAACAAACCATAACCATCAAGAAACCAAGATTTGTCTCAACTTGATTGAGATTGTAATAATATTTCTTACGTGTGCAAGAAGGTTCTTGTTTTCTTTTCCATAGCTAAAGCATGATATCTCTTTTCCGGTGATGATCTCCAGCATCAAAACTCCAAAGCTATAAATGTCAGACTTCTCAGAGAATGTTCCTGTCCATGCATACTCAGGAGACATGTATCCCCTGTTCGAATACATAACTACTTTAGAAAAAGTTTGATCCCAAAATAAATAGGAGAAGAGGAGTGATTCTTACAAAGTTCCAAACACTCTTCCAGTGTTGTCTTGATTCTGAGTTCCTTGAAACATTCTTGCCAATCCAAAATCTGATATCTTTGGATTCATCTTCTCATCCAAGAGAATGTTGCTGGCCTTGAGATCACGGTGTACAACTCTGAGGAATGAGTCACGGTGGAGATAAACAAGTCCACGAGCGATACCTTGAATGATATTGAACCTCTTAGGCCAATCAAGCTCCAGCTTCTTCTTCAAATCTATAAAGTTATCATGTAAGCGACGTAAGAAACAATGACAAAGGGAGAGGTTAGATGAAGAAGTAAGGGCTCACCAAAGAGGAAAGTATCAAGGCTTTTATTCACCATGAACTCATAAACCAATAGCTTCTCTTCTCCTTCAATGCAATATCCTAAAAGTCTAACCAAGTTTCTGTGTTGTAGTTTTGAGATGAGTTTTAGTTCGTTCATGAACTCCTCTGTGCCTTCTCCTGAGCTGCTAGAAAGACGTTTTATAGCTATTTCTTTCCCATCTTGTAGCTTCCCCTGTAAGCACAGAGAGAGAGAGTCTTATCTAGTGAACAAGAAAGACAATAATAGAAAAGAGAAGTAGAGAGACTATCTTTTTAACCTTATAAACTGTTCCAAATCCACCTTGGCCAAGTTTATTTGAGATGCTGAAATTATCTGTAGCAGTTTGAATGGTTCGCATCTCAAAGAAATTTAAACCTGAGACATCTTGTAACTTCATATTACTCTTCCAAGCATCTTCTGAAGTCTCCATGGCTACACGAGCATCACCTATGGGGTTACAAGTATCCATCCATGTATAAGTACTTAAGTTTCTAGCATTTGATGAATAGTCCAAATATCAAAAACAGAGGAACTTCAAGAAAACAAATGAAGGGACAACAAAGAGTCTACTCTTTTGAATAAAGTTGTGGAGTCTCACCATTTTGTTTCAGTCTGTATCTCCAACACCAAAATGCTGCAAGTCCCAAGATTATAAACATGCAGAGACTAATAGCACTAACAATAATTATCTTGATTTGCTTGCTTCTGGCTGAGATAATCAATCACCAAGAAACCATATTGTTAAGACAATATAAAAGGAAAACAAGAATGTGATTTGTGATGTCTTTCTTTAAGCCTTACCTAACTCAGAACGTGCAAGACGGATAAAAAGAAACTCTCCTTCTTCAGCAAACTGAACCATATCCATTAGCTCCTTGCTCCACACTAAGCATCCAATACCATTGATATAGGAAAAGGCCAAGCAAGAACAGTTCCTGAGACATCCTTGACGGCACTCTTCAGCATCATCAAACCTTACCAACTCATAAGAATCAGGAGGCTTCATATTAGCAACACGGTAGAATCCATCTGATGTATCTTCTCCCTGACATGATGACGATAACTCTGTTCTTCTCACACACCCACGAGTCCAGTTCCCACTATTCCACTCATCATCTGACTTTGGCACAAACCCTTTCAAGCATCTACACGTTGGAGTAGTACTAATGGACCTAACACACAAACCATTAGGTCCACATGTACCGTATAGATCACATGAGCTTCTAGGACCTTCAAAATGCTTGATCCAACCAGTGTTGCCACCGTTAATCCGGTGTATATCCAATGATCCCTCTGGTGTTAGCTTTATGTATGACACATCAAAGTTTCTTAAAGCACAAAAAGTCAAAACTCCTGTGCCGTTGACCACATCTTGAACCATTGTTAATGGATTCACATACGTTTCATCCATCTCTGGTATCCCTAAGAACCTTGTCTCCGCCCAAGGACCGCTTCTCCAGTAAGGTGATGAGCCTTTCCATACAAGTCCTTGTGGTGGAACTTCAGGAGTAAGCTCTGCTAGAAACTCACCGGGTGATGGATCTGTGTTGCTTCTCCAAGAAGTCAACACACGCCTTGTGTTGTTAGGGAGATCATACATGAGAGAAGACAGAGGAAGCATGGTGTCTGTAAGATGGTCAAAGCTTTGCCATAGATACGTTCCTGTAACGTTATCTACAACCACAAGGTTTCCTGAGTTTAAAAGCTCGGCATGACATTGGTTAGATGTGAGAGATTCTTGTCCAGATGACCAGAGAAGTTTTTGTTTCTCATCAAGCAAGATGAGAGTTCCGTTACTGCTGATTGTGAGATTTGCAGTGAGGGTTGTTACTGGAGTTTCTCTGTTGGCTACCCAAACGTAGACACGTGGAGTGATTCTCTTGAACCAGATTCCAAGGTACTGATGGGTTTGAGAGGTGTTGGGATTGAAGAATCCTAGCTCAAAGGATCCATCAGGAGAGCTCAGAGTTTGTGTTATGGAGAAAGGATTAGATGTGGTTATATTTGCAAAGCTATAAGTTGAGAACATTGTTAACAAAAGCAAGCATGGAAAGTAAAGAGTACTCATCTTTCCTCTCTGTGTTGTTTTGCAAGAGATCTTCCTCCAGAGATGAATATGAATGAAACCTATAAGAGATAGATGTTTTGTTATTCAAACTATTTGCATTATTTCAAGCATCCTAAATTGACCATTAGGTTGACTTTATATTTACAAATTTTATAATTCTTTGGTGGTGCATGAGTGCAATACTTTGAAAGTTTCAACTGATAAAAAAAAAGGAACAGTTATTCGCAATTTCAACGAGGAACAGAACCCTAAAGTGATGTATGTTACTTGGCTGCTACGGAACTTTTTTTTTTATATAATAATTTCCCGTTGAATGTACGGAGTTAGACCCAGTCATGATCATCTTGATAACTTATATTTCAACGATAAACAACGGTAACCAGTTACTTAACTACAAGTGGATCAATCAAAATTCAAATGAATACAACAATGTTTGACTAAATAGACAAGATTTTCAATATTTTTTTGTGGTGAATAATAAATAGTATCAGCCAATGAAATAGACTTTGTGTGTGTACCTATTTTCACGAATGGCTAGCGTTGTTTTTTTTTTTGGGGTCAAATTTTAGACCTCACACAAAGCCAAATCTGCATTTCAACAAACTGATCCCTAACACTGATTTGGTCAAAGGGTTCCGTTACTTAGCTAAGATCTGCATCATAACTGAAACCGAACCGAACCGACTTTTCCAGTATCGATTCGGCGGGTATAGTTTTATTTTTTTTGCTAAAATGTAAATATCATTAGATGAAAGTAAGATTTTACAAAGAAGATCTTAAGCTTGTTTTTAAGTAGTGAAATTACAGTAGAACCTCTATAAATTAATACTCAATTAATTAATATACACTAAATATCTCTATAAAATAATATAATATTATAAATCCAAAGTGAATTTTTGGTTCAACTAATATATCGATAAATTAATATTTTATAAATTAATAAAAAAATAAAATTTTAGTGCAGTCCCAATATTAATTTATAGAATCATTTCACTTACATACCCATTATCTTTGTCTTTTTGGGCTATGAACTTCATAATAAAAAAATAAAATTTTGGTGGAGTCCTAGCATTAATTTATAGAATCATTTCACTTACATACCCATTATCTTTGTCTTTTTGGACTATGGACCTCATAATAAGATTTATAAGCCCATTTCTTAACCCCTTTTAAGATATTTATGTCACTCTCTCCGATTCTACTCTCACTCATGCAACTCCTAGTCTCCTTTGTACGGAAACCCTAAGTTCCTTGCCCTCTAGCCATTTTGCAGGTTTGTCCTCAAAATCTGAAATATTCTTACTCTCCCACTCTTTATTCTTCTGTTGGATTTGGTTTCGTTACGGTTTTAGCTTAATTGTTGAAATCTGAGTGTAATATTTTTTTTTTGGGGGGTTATTGTTGAAATTTGCGTTGTAAATGGTCCGATGTACCTACTGCATACATCTATTGACCAATGGTCTGGTAAAAATTGAAACTTTTCTATGTCTGTTGTGATTCTTGCTTGAGAGGATATACTTGGAGATGTCTGAACCTGGAATGTCTGAACTTGAAATGTCTGAGCTTGAAATGTTTGAACGTTAAACTCTGAGCTTGAATGTTTAAACTTTTATTGTCTGAACTTGAAAAATGTGAACTTGGAAGAACTTGAACGGATGTCTGAACTTGAAATGGCTGAACTTGAAATGTCTGAACTTGAAATGTCTGAACTTGAAATGTCTGAACTTTGAAATGTCTGAACTTGAAATGTCTGAACTTTGAAATGTCTGAACTTGAAATGTCTGAACTTGAAATGGCTGAACTTGAAATGTCTGAACATGAAATGATATCTGAACCTGGAATGTCTGAAACTAAAATGTCTGAAGTGAACTTGAAATGTTTGAACTTGAAAGAACTTGAAATGATGTCTGAACTTGAAATGTATCTAAACTTGGAATCAGCGAGTAATCATTGGTCTTTTTAGGCTACCCAATAACACATTTCCTTTTTTTTTCTTTGTTCAGGTTGATTTCCTGATTCACTCAACCACAGCTGATCCAGATGTCTGAATTAACAGAGCAATTCTCGGAGCTGTCAGCATCTCCTCTGATTCCGTCACTTCCAGACGACGTGACCCTAGACATCGTAGCACGTGTACCGAGAAGCCATTACCCAATTCTCTCCCTCGTCTCCAAGAGTTTCCGTAAACTCATAGCCTCCTCTAAACTCTACAAGAGACGATATCAGCTAGGCATCACCCAACACCGTCTCTATGCCGTCCTCTGCAACAGCAACACCGGTGATTTCAGTTTCTACATCCTCCACAAAAAACTCAACTGCAGTAACCGCTTGGTCCATGTCCGGTCACTTCCTCCCATGTCTTCCCGTGGAAGCTATGTCCCTTTTGGTTCGAAAGTGTACGCGTTTAACGACCTCTCAGCGCTCATCTTTGACTGTACATCTCACACGGTTCATCCCATCTCCGACATTCCTCAGCGCATGTCCTACAAAGTAGTTAACGCCATCGAAGAAGAGAAGAAGATTTATGTGATTGGTGATTCGTTTTGTCATGTCATTGAGGAAGGTGGTGGGTGGTGGAAAGGGTGGAGGAAGGCAGTTACCGTGTTTGACACGGAGACACAGTCATGGGAGCCTAAGGTAGTAAAGGAAGACATGGCTGTAGGTTTAGGTCCCTTTTGGTCTGACTCTGTGGTGATGGATGGTAAGGTTTACTTGAAAGGTTGCAACAGCAAGCGTGATTCTTTTGTTTATGGACCAGAGGAAAAGAAATGGGAATTGATGGGTGAGGTGATGAACTCTAAGGACTGGGAGGGTGCTTGTGTGGTTGATGATGTTCTCTACTATCTTGATTGTTCCGAGAAGGTGGTTTTGAGGGCTTTTGATCCAAAGGAGAAGTGTGGTTGGAGAGTTGTCAACGGTTTGGAAGAGTCTTTGGTGGCTGAGACTGCTAAGTCAAAGTGGTGCGATGCGGTGAGCTATGGCGAGAAGAAGTTGGCTCTCTTCTTTCCTAAAAAACGTGACGACGGTAGGCATGTCATTTGCTGTGCAGAGATCGGTTTGGAAAGATGTCATGGAGGAGAAATTTGGGGTAAGATGGAGTCGTGTGATGTTGTCATTGAGGATGAGCAGTCTGAACTGGTGAAGTGTGTTACTGTTACCATTTGATGCAGCAGAGAAGATCCCTCAGTATTTATCATTATCCTAAAACGCCATCTCGTGTGGTTGTAAGTTTGTTAACATCCTTTATGTTAGACAAAAACTTGAGAGTGTGTTGTGTTTATGTTGTTTAAAACTTTGTTACATGTTTTGTTGAATTTGCTATGTTTTTATTAAGGAAAATTTTAGGAACTATTAACAGAGAATTATTAACAACAGAGCAGACATTATCGTTTCATTGATTGACACTTAGCAGGCAATGACGTTTAGTTGATTACGTAGAGGAAAATGAAGTGACTCTCACAGGTGAAAAAAGTCGTAAAGGATGTGCCAATTTAGTCAGTCAAACGTACGAAGACCGCCGTTAATAGAAAAATCTGAAAAACATAGCATCTAGAATTATCTTTAGAATTATAACAGTGCCACTTGACTTGACCCCTTCACCATAACAATATTTGGATTCGTCTCCTGAGACTTTAATGCTCATCACACCATCACAACGTCATCTAACTCAAAACCTTAAATGCTACATTCAAACACTAGAATCTTACCATATTAGCTCTGTTTTGCTTAGTTTCGTTTTAGGAAAGAAAAGCAAAGATATATCCAAAGAGAGCATGAGTTCTTTTGTTCTTACTCTTACACTCTCTTGCTTCTTGTCAAGTGTCTGTTTTGCTCAAGAAAGAGCTTCCTTCTCCGGCAACCTTACTGATTCTGAGACGATAATCTCCAGCCTTGGTACGTTCAGGTTCGGTTTCTTCACCCCTGTCAACTCCACAAGTAGGTATGCTGGTATATGGTACAACAACATTCCTATACAAACTGTGATATGGGTTGCTAATAAAGATGCCCCCATCAACGACTCCTCTGGAGTCATCTCTGTCTCGGAAGATGGAAACCTCGTAGTTACAAATGGTCAGAGACGTGTTCTATGGTCAACAAACATCTCTACTCAAGCCCGTGCCAACTCTACTACTGTCGCTGAGCTTTTGGAGACAGGGAACCTCGTGGTAAAAGATGACAACAGTGAAGCAACTCTTTGGGAAAGTTTCAGACATCCTACTGATTCTTGGTTACCAAACATGGTTGTGGGAACAAACGCAAGAGCCTCAGGAGAGAACATCACGTTAACTTCATGGAAAAGCCCATCAGATCCTTCTCCAGGGAGCTACACTGCTGCACTCGTTCTCGCTGCGTATCCAGAGCTCTTCATCTTGAATAAAGATGATAATAACGCTACTGTGTGGCGTAGTGGTCCTTGGAACGGTCAGATGTTTAATGGTTTACCAGATGTGGATCCTGGAGTCATCTTTCTTTTCAGATTCACAGTTAATGATGATACTAACGGATCAGTCACCATGTCGTATGCTAATGACTCCACTTTGAGATACTTGTACATGGACTACAGAGGATCTGTGATCAGAAGGGATTGGAGTGAAGCTAGGAGAAACTGGACGGTTGGGTTACAAGTTCCAGCAAGCGAGTGTGATATCTACAGAAGATGTGGTCCATTCACTACTTGCAACCCAAGGAAGACACCTCCCTGTTCTTGCTTTAAAGGGTTTAGGCCAAGGAGTCTAGATGAGTGGAACAATGGGAACTGGAGTGGTGGATGCATAAGAAGGACACCTTTGCAGTGTGAAAGACAGAATAATAATGGGAGTGGTGATGGGTTTACAAGGCTAAGGAGAATGAAGTTGCCTGACTTTGCAATAAGATCTGAAGCTAGTGAGCCGGAGTGTTTAAGGACATGTTTGCAGACTTGTTCTTGTATAGCTTGTGCTCATGGTTTAGGTTATGGTTGCATGATTTGGAATGGTAGCTTAGTTGATTCACAGGAGTTGCCTGCTGGTGGAATGGATCTTTATATCCGTCTTGCATATTCAGAAATCAGTTAAGTTAATTTATTAGCCCTCCTTAACTTTTACTCTTACTTAACATTCCAGCTTTAATGATTTTGTTACTTCTTGCTACTAGAAACTCCTGACAGAAGACCGGTTATTATTGGTTCTTCATTGGCTGGAGGTATACTTGTTGTAGCAGCTTGTGGTCTCTTAGCGAGACAGCTTGTCATGAAGAGAAGAGGTACTATGTTTTGTTCTTCTAAGTCATTGGACATTTTGGTTTTGATAACATCTTGGGTTGGTTCTCAGCGAGAAAGAAAGGAAGAGACGCTGAGCAGATTTTCAACAGAGTAGAGGCTTTAGCTGGTGGTGATAAAGCAAAGTTGAAAGAGCTACCACTGTTTGAGTTTCAAGTCTTAGCAGCAGCAACTAATAACTTCTCTCTCAGAAATAAGCTCGGACAAGGAGGCTTTGGTCCTGTTTACAAAGTAAGTATTACTTTTAACTTAAAGAGTTATGGCAACAAGAGTTTATGTCTAATCAAATTTTGTTGCAGGGGAAGTTACAAGAAGGGCAAGAGATTGCAGTGAAGAGACTATCAAGAGCCTCAGGACAAGGGCTTGAGGAGCTTGTTAATGAAGTGGTTGTGATATCTAAGTTGCAACATCGGAATCTTGTCAAGTTACTTGGTTGCTGCATTGCAGGAGATGAAAGGATGTTAGTCTATGAGTTCATGCCCAAGAAAAGCTTAGACTATTATCTATTTGGTAAGTGTTCACTATCATTTTGTGTTTTCAAAACTTAAAACCAGGTTAGTTAACAGAAGTTACTGTGTTGTTCAGACCCGGTTAAGGCCAAGCTTCTTGATTGGAAGACACGGTTCAACATAATCAATGGAATATGTAGAGGTCTTCTGTACCTTCACAGAGATTCCAGGCTGAGAATCATCCACAGAGATTTAAAAGCTAGCAACATCTTGTTAGATGAGAATCTGATTCCAAAGATATCTGATTTTGGTTTGGCTAGGATTTTCCCAGGGAATAGAGATGAAGCAAACACAAGAAGGGTCGTTGGTACATAGTAAGTTACTGCATTCACCTTTTTCTCCATAAAGACAGTACTAAACTTGTATATGTATCTTGTAGCGGCTATATGTCACCAGAATATGCAATGGGAGGACTGTTTTCAGAGAAGTCTGATGTTTTCAGCTTAGGAGTGATACTCTTAGAGATTGTTAGTGGAAGAAGAAACTCAAATTCTACCCTGTTGGCTTATGTAAGTCTTTACTAAGAGTTTTTAACTCTCTTGAGATTATTCTAAGGAACTTCTCTGTTTTTTTTATAGGTATGGTCAATCTGGAACGAAGGGGAGATTACTGAACTGGTGGATCCTGTGATCTTTGACCAAGTCTTTGAGAAAGAGATAAAGAAATGCGTTCACATTGCGCTTTTGTGTGTGCAAGAATCTGCTAACGACAGGCCAAGTGTTGCTACAATGTGTTCAATGCTCAGCAGCGAGATAGTAGACATTCCAGAACCGAAACAGCCTGCTTTTATAACAAGGAACGTTGCTGCTTCAGAAGCTGAGTCCTCTGAGAACAGTGCCTCTATCAATAATGTCACCATCACTGATGTCTCAGGACGTTAGAATCAAAACATATGTTTAAATTCCAGATGATACATCATCCATCTTTGTAGATGGTTAAGTTCTCACATATGTTGTAATATAAACATGCTTATTTAAATTAATACAACAATTGTACGACATGAAATTATGTAAAATCAAGAATCTCCATATCTTTAAGTGTTTGCTGGTATTATAGGAGGAAGTTCAATGGATGCACTTTCATGTGAAGTAGAATGATGTGTGGAGGATTCAGCTGCTTTGTGTTGAGACTCAGGATCCCAAAACTGGTAGTGGTCATCATGATGATTAGGATAACTTTCATCGCTTCGGTTGTTGGAATTGTGAAGGAGATGGATGGGAGATGAGCCATGAGTTGGTGTAGTTGGATAGCTAGTGTAAGGTGTGTTTGATTCAGAGTGTCGTCTTCCGTGTTTTGTCTCTTCTTTTGCTTTGTGATGCCACTTCTTTAGCATCTTGAATACTCTTCCATTGAAAACTGTTGGCTTCATCTTATCATTACCCATCTACACATATCAACACACAGTTATTGTCAGAAAAGAAGCTAAGATCATTTATGTATTCATCTCACTGGAAATTATGCTGTGTTGTTACCTGTATGACAAGAGCATAGAGTGGAAGAGTCACATAGCTGCAAAGGATCTGTACAGCAAGTCTGCATGTTTGTGTAACTTGGTCAGTTAAATAACTTTTTTTTTCCCGCGTATTCTCACAACCAATAAGTCAAGTTAATGTTTTAGCTTACCCAACTACAATTCTAATGGCAATATCTTGAGGTTCTTTATGGAAACAATTACTGAAACCAAATTCATACTGCAGATACCAAAAATTCAGTATACAAAAAACAGTATGGTCTAAAAAAAAGTGAAATGAATCTCTTACAGAACTCCATGCAAAGAAAGCAAGTTGAAATGCATTCTGCAAAGTGAAGGGTTTTTAGTAGTGATAGGTTTATTATAAAGGATAAACCGGGTGGTGAATCGTACCGCGAAAAGAACCAAATGGATAAGGAAAAGCATGAAGCTAGGTTTGTCAAACCAGAAGAGATCATCACCAGGCTGAACCACAGGGGCGCCTCTCACAATATCACCTCTCTCTTGGATCCTTAGACCCAATTTGGTTATAATCACTTGAAGCTTTGTTCCAACTATTAGAACCACCTGCAAGATTAATTTCATTTTGTTTAAAAGAAAGGCTGTTAGTGAGAAACGGTTTAAATTATTGGTTCAATAGTTTGTTGTACTTACAATCAGAGGAATGAATGGTAACCAGAAGTAAGAATGTACTCCTGTTTTAAATGAAAACTGATGTCAGTTTTGTGATGCAGAGATATTGTGGGTTTTGAGAAGTAAGCAGTGAGTGTTACCATTTGAGTTGGTCAAGAGGAATAGCACAGTTACAAACCAGATAACCGGACTGCAAAAAGTTAGTGAAGTCTTGGTCATATTTTTCAAAGTTGTAAGAAGTAATCTAGTAGGTAGATCCAAACCTGATCTCAACAACAGTTTTGAAGTCTGTTTCTAATGATCTCTGAATACAGCTGAGGAAATCATATGGCATTTTTTCGCTTCCGCTGCTCCCAGGAGCAAAAAGCGCCTGAACAAAGAGTAATTTATATTATTTATAATCTCTTCCAACTTCTGATGTGAAACATCGTCAATAATGAAAATCATACTATTTACACTCCTTTCCAACTACCCATGTGATACATTGTCCTTAAATAGTTAAATTACTTTCTTTAGAGATAATGATTAGGAACTATAACTTGGTTATGGTCGTTAGTGATAGTTGTGTTCAAAAAAAAGAGTTGTATTATATAAATTTCCTACCGTGATGAAACCATGCCGCAGAGTTAAGTAATCAACTTTGGTGACAGATCCAAAGAACTGTCTGAAAAAACAAACAGTCCAGAGAGTAACACTCGTCTTGCTCCAGTCATTGAGATGTCTTCGTCCGAATGTTGTGTCCCTCGCAAACCTGAACCTCTCAGGATCTGCATAACAAGAATGTAGTCATTGTAAAACTTCCAACGTACAGTTTAAATATCTCTCGTTAAATAGCACATACCGTTGGAGTATTGATATTCTATTGTCTTTGTCTCCTCCTCCCATTGCTCCCACTTCCTCATCTGAGATACTCAAGAAACAATATCAATACAATATTTCTTGAGTCTCAAGTCACTGAAGAAACACACAAGAAAAGTAGCTACCTTGGTCTTTCCCAAAGCATAAGTAACAATGCAGTAGATAACATGAACCACCGCGAGCACGAAAATGAATATGTGCAGCTGGTGGATTCCGTAAGCAGATACAAAAGGCACTTTCCCCTGAGATAAACCCATCAGTCAAAATTAAAGAGGATGATTAATATTTAATAACAAGCAGAAGGTAGTTTGAATATACATATGTGATCAAACTATTATTTACCAATTACCTTTGGACAGTCGTTGAAACCTTTGGTGGCTAAACTTCTTCTAGGGATGTAAGATTCAGCTAACTCAAGGAGAAGTTTTCCAGTGGCTTTTTGTTTATCGGCTGCTTTTTTATCAGCTTCTTTTTTAGCTATTTCCTGGGCGCTGCAAGGCCGCATTGATGATGCAACGCTCTTGGGGATGCAAAAACTTGAGATTGGTGTTTGTGCGACTGTTAAGAGTAGTGATATGAATCCCAACAGCATAAGCTCTGATTACAATAAAAAAAAATCAAAGTTAAGTGTTAAAATAAGAATGTGTTAGGTAGATGTATATTTTAGTTCTATAACCATAATAGAACCAATAAAGCTTAGAGCATTTACATATACTTAATTTTTTTTAACCAATACCATGAATTATTTATGTTAAATTGTTATAAAGCAAATATAATGATAATAGTGAAAAAATTATGTAATAAATGGTAAAAACAAAATAAGAAAAATACGTAATTTGGATGTAACTTGTATTACTCTATAGATGTAATAGTTTTTTTGAATTATAATGTTTTAGTTATTGTACATAGTTTCTCTTCAATTTTTACCAGCTTTAACTTTTTCAAGAGCTTCATAAAGATTCCCCTTGTGCTTCGTTTTGAGCCACTGCCATTAAAAAAAAAGAGAGAGCAGATTTAGTCATAAGAGAAAAGGAATGAAACTGAGCTGGAAAGAAGAAGTAGTAAAAAACAGATTGATACCTAACGCAGAAACAGAGAAGTAAAGAGAACACAAACACGAAACAGAAGAAGATATATGGAAATAAAAAGCAAAAAGGAGATATTGCAACGGGGACTTACGGTTCCTATTTTGTGAATCAAACATTCAATAATAAGCGAAATGACTATTAAGACGAAGCAAACCACAGCGACTGCCCACGTAGAGGTCTCCTCTAAAGTCCTCTCATATTCTTTATCCGCCATTAGAGTTTTCATGTTCTAATTCTTTTGCTCTCAAGTTTGGTTAATTAATACGCTATGCAATTTCGTAGTTGTCATTACATTTATATAATAGGAGTCATGAGTAAGTAGTAGATGAAGATAAGATCCACAACGAGAGATTGTAATCTAAATCGACGTCTTTTGTAGAACATTCAACCCAACCCAACCCAACCCATTGATTACACCATCATGTCACGATTTCTCAGTTACTTTATCCTCCTCTTTCTTGTTTGGTTTTTATTTAATATTGTGGGTCAATCATGTTTTGCATTCATTTCACTTCAGATATTTTCTAATTTTGTTTGGCAAATTGGTTGACTCTGTGCAAAACTTGTTGCATATACTGCATCTCCTCGATAGATATGATTTCTCCTCAGCACACGATCATAACGACTTTTGTTAACCAGAACGACTTTGTTTGTACTACCCTGAAATTTCTGGTAAATCTTCTATCATACTCCCCCTATTTCATTATAAGTGTCACTGTGTAGCCGTGCACACGAATTAAGAAAACAATTAATTTTACATATTTCTTAAATAAAACATAGTTACCCATAAACCTAACCATATTTTAATCAATAGAAAAACAAATTACATAATAAAATTAATAAATTTTGCATTGAAAACCGAAAACGATACTTATTTTGTAACGCAAAAAAATTTTTACAAAGACACTTAATATGAAATGGAGGGAGTATAAATTTCCAAAAATATAAATACACGTCTCTAAATTTGATGTAGAAACCTTTAATTACTTAGCATTAATTAGGCCACTGGACTTGAAGATTTATCTATTAAAGCATGTTAAACAACAGGTACGATGCATGCATGCAACAATGATTAGTTAATACTCCATATGTTTCAATTTGTTGTATATTTTAGTTTTTTCACACATAGTAAAACACATAATAAATGCATAGCTTTTTGTGATTATCATTTTTTTTATAAATCTAAACCAATGAAAATCTAATAAGTGTAATTAAATTTTTTGAAAGTTATAATTAATTATTATTATTTGAAAAATATATCTTGAAAATATAAAAAAAATGTATCTTTTTAAAATAAAGATTTTTTGGAGTACTAATAGTTACATTAACTATTCTTGTTAAGTGGAAACTATTGTGAAATTAGTCGTGTGTCCATCAGCCATCATAAATTCCATACGTGACATTTAGGTCACATAGTGGAGCACCGGTGTTTACGTAACATGTGGTTCAATAATGAGACTGACCAATAAATGATTAAACGTCACTCAAATACATACAAATATCTGAATGTGTAATATAATATCAGATGAAGCTGAAAGAAAAATACTGAGCAAATCAATGATTGCATTGCACGCTTATGCTCTCTTCTTCGTCGATGACTCGATGTACGTTTATAATTTAAACTAGATGTGATCTAGCTACGATGATGATCAATAAATTAGTTTTCCATACTATTAAAAAAAAAGTTTTGATATATTATTAACAATGGAACGTGGTGAAATCTCAAAGTTTCAAGAACTGCTTATTATTGATCGGGTGACTGTGGTCGAGTGGTAAGGAGACATGGTTGAGACACCAACATGTTCAGGTTAGATCTACCTATTGCGCGAAACTAAATCACAATTATCCTGGTCACCTAACACGGTTATGGATCTATGCTTTAGGGTCCATTTGAATACCCGGAAAAAAGTCTATCTGTGGGATATAACTCTCTTTGAAGATTAGTCTGGCATTTCCATGAGCCTAAAATACCCCTAAGTTAATAAAAATAATAATATCAAGATTACCAAAAAAAAATCGACAAGTGCAACTTATGTATGTCAAAGAGTTAACAAATATAAATGCATATATTTTTTATGAATAGACAATTAGATGTATTAGAAAAATATCAACGTTGTTATCTTTATTTAATGAACGTTTACACAAAGTTCATGCTCAACTGAATATACCATATAAAATTTAATACGTATGTTTAACATTTACTACTGAAAAAATAAAGTCCATTTTGTCGGCGATATCGACTCGGATAGAAAAAAATGCTACGTAGTTTGTTTCATTAATGAACTGCATATAAACCAAACCGAACCAAATCCGACAAAATTGGGTTGGTTTAAATCAATTTCGATCAAATCTCAAAAACCGAATTGAACCGACCTAAGAAAATCGAAATTCATTCTTTTGAAAATCAAATCCTCAAAAAAACCCCCAAAATCCAAACTCAAAAACCCTAAATTGGCTAGTGTCCAGATTCTACTGAAATCTTCAACCTTTCCCCATCACTCTCTGAATAAAAATGGATCCAATCGCTTCTCTGGTGGAGAAAGTGAAGCTCTTTGCGAAATCGAGCCATGACTTAGTCTCCAGCCACTTCAACTTCCACGAGTCTCCTTCCCGCCAGAATCCGGTATCTTTCATCACTCCTCGCTCATAAAATCAGCATCTTGTTTAATGGGTAGAAGAAAGTATAGACATTGATTCATAAAAATGTATTATACCTTAAAGAGATTTTTGGTTTTTGTTGGGGAACTATGTTCAGATTGATATCTTGAAGAGATTGCAAAGAGAAGCGTTTTCGGATATAATGAAGCTTAGAGATAGACAAGAGAAAGTGGAGAGAGTGATTTCATCGTATAAAGTGTCTAAAGGAGGTCCGTTTTAAGAGAGTAGTACTCATGTGAGAGGTGAAGTTGATGTTCTTGGAGGAGTGTTGATGATGGGAGACACTGATGAGGAGAGTTTTAGTGGAGTGGACAGAGAAGGAGTTAGACCTGGGTTGCTTTCTAGGTTCGTGTTCGAAACTAGGCTTAGGGAGATGGATAGGTTTGTGGCTGAGCTTGTTGCTGGATACAAAGGGGAAGGGAATGATGGTGGTTCAGGGAGCCAGTTGTCTTTAGCTAAAGTCTTTTACAAGGCAGAGATTAGTGATTGGTTCTCTGCAGTTGCTATTCCTGTTGGGGCGCGTTTTAGAGACATTGATGCTGCTCTTGTGTCTTCTTACCAGGTATTTGTTGTGTGTTTTCTTGTTTAATAACACACAAACAGGTAAATGATTGAAACTACCTTTTGTCTTGCAGGGAATGAATCTTACAGAAGTTTCGGAACTTGGACCGCCTCTTTTAAACCAACATAACGGTAGTGCCATAGGTTTAACATTCAGAAAGTCAAACATCGCAGCTTCACTGGCTCAGTCCATCACAAACCTTGAAGATGAACAAGTTTTGAATGCAGCAAACCGTTGTTTCAGAACTTTTGGGCAAGTAACCTGCAACATTCTGAGGGGTGTAAAACTATCTCTACTGGGCTGTCAACAGATTTTATCACCGTTTAACAACCTCCATTATTCTGCTGGAGCCATTACAGTCCCAGTAAGTTTCCTAAGGCGCCGTATTGCTATGGATCCTGAACCATCAGCAGAGATGAGCAGAGGCATGGGTCATGTGTCCTCTTCTAGTTCCATTGCTTTGAGGTTAGACTCTTTAGTTGACGAGTCTACGAGAGTTGGGGGATGGATTGAAATTCAGAACTCAAGAGAGAAGCAAGTGAAATGGTCAGTTTCTATTACAGACAAACCAGAGGATGAAGTGGGATGGGGCATGAGCCTTGGGGGAGTCATCGACGGTTCAAGAAATCATAATCAGTTTCAGGTGGAATCATATCTCAAATTCAACATTGATCATAGGTTTAGCTTAAGTCCAGGTCTTGTTTATCTCACAAACAGTAACGGAAGAACAGTAGGTCTCATGCTTCACTCTCATTGGTCTCTGTAATCTTACATTCATGGTTGTATCTACCACTAATTGCAAATGTTTTAGGGATGAAAAAAAAGTCCGACCAAATCTAATGTTAGCTGCTACATTGGAATAGTTAGCATGTGACTGTACCAAAGGACAAAGAAAAACCAAGTTGATCCCATTAATATCCAAAGTTATTAATGTCAGCGTTGATGGTAGGTGGATCTTACACCACTCAAATAACTTCAAAAATCTGAAGACTTGCTGTTGTGACTAAGTCAATGCCCTCTCTCTTAGGACTCATGTGCCATTCTACTCTACTTCTAAGCTTTTCTTAGAGAAATATCTTCTAAAGAGAGAGACAAACAGAAGAAACAAAAGTGGAACAGTTCTGTTTTAAATAGTTATGGTGGTTCTTGTGAACACACGTTGTCGCTTTGTTCTTCTTCTGCTTGCAGCATTCTCTTGCTTCTCCTTGAAGCTCTGTTTAGGCGAAGATAGTATCACTTTCTCGACTCCAATCAAAGACTCAGACACACTTCTCAGCAAAAGTGGTGTTTTCAGGTTTGGTTTCTTCACTCCTGTAAACTCCACTGCTCGGTTACGTTATGTTGGGATTTGGTATGATAAGATTCCAGTTCAAACCGTGGTTTGGGTTGCTAATAAAGATACTCCGGTTAAGGACACTTCAGGTGTTGTTTCCATCTCTGAAGATGGAAATCTTGTGGTTAAGGATGGTAGAAACCGCCTTCTTTGGTCTACAAATGTCACTTCAACCGTTGCTTCAAACACTTTGGTTCAGCTCATGGATACTGGGAATCTTAGGCTACAAGATAGCAGAAGCAACGGCGAGACTCTTTGGGAGAGTTTCAAACATCCTTATAATACTTTCTTGCCAGGAATGAGTCTTGGAACCAACAATAGAACCAGAGAGAATCTGAAGCTTTCTTCTTGGAGAACCTATGATGATCCTTCAACAGGGAACTATACAGCTGGTCTTGCTCCTTTTGCATATCCTGAGCTTCTGATATGGAAGAACAATGCTCCAATCTGGCGTAGCGGACCGTGGAACGGTCAGCATTTCATGGGTTTACCGGATGTGGATGGGTTTAACCTTACCAATGATTACCAAGGAACTGCTTCATTGTCTTATAGTAATGATTCTTTCATGTATCACTTGGATCCTGATGGAGTCATGTATCAGAGAAGATTGAGTACTTCTACGAGAGGTTTGAGGATCGGTGCCAATATTACATCGACAGCTTGTGATGCATACGGTGAATGTGGTCCATTTGCAAGCTGCAGTTCTCGTGAAGTCCCGCCTTGTAACTGTGTCAAAGGGTTTGTGCCAAGGAATCAAGCAGAGTGGAATGATGGGAACTGGACTAAAGGATGTGTGAGAATAGTTCCATTGCGTTGCAAGAGTAGTAATGGTGGTGGTAGAGGAAAAGGAGATGGGTTTTTGAAACTGCAGAAGATGAAAGTACCAGTCTCTGCGGAACGGTCACTAGCTAATGAGCAGGATTGTCCTAAACAATGTTTAGAGAACTGTTCTTGCACAGCTTATGCTTATGATCATGGAATAGGTTGCATGCTTTGGAGTGGTAGCTTAGTTGATATGCAATCATTTTTGGCAAATGGCATTGATCTTTATATTCGGATTGCACATTCTGAAAGTGAGTTAAAAAAAATCTTTAGTAGTCTCACTTGTTTTCTTCTTCTCCATCTCATTATGTGTTCTCACCAAATCTTGTAGAAAAACATAGCTATCTGGCAATTGTGATAGGCGCTGCGTTTGTAGCTGCTGCCTTTCTTCTTTTAGCATGCCAGAAATTCAAAAAACGTTCAGGTTAGAGTTTAGTTTACTCATCTATAATAACTTCAGATTGTTTTCTTGAGTCATAATTGGTTTGAATCATTGCTTATTTGCCTTAGCAGCACCAGAGAGCCGTAGAAGGCCAGAGCTAATGTTTAGCAGAATGGAAGAAGTTACAAGTGAAAACGAGTCTCCTTACATATTCAAGCCTAATGAGTTTCCACTTTTTGAGTTTCAAGTGTTAGCTAAATCAACGGATTACTTCTCTCACATGAACAAGCTAGGACAAGGCGGGTTTGGTCCTGTTTACAAGGTAAACATTAGACAAGAATCTTTCTGATAATAGATATGGTGTAATCTTTGTTTTATTTTCATAGGGGAAGTTACCAGAAGGGCAAGAGATTGCAGTAAAGAGGCTCTCACGTGCATCTAGACAAGGGCTAGAGGAACTTATGAACGAAGTGGTTGTGATTTCGAAGTTGCAGCATCGAAATTTAGTAAGAGTACTTGGTTGTTGCATTGAAGGTGAAGAAAGGTTGCTTGTCTATGAATACATGCCAAACAAAAGCTTGGATGCATATATATTTGGTAAACTTTCTCACCTCTGTTTTCAATTCTGTTTTTTTCAACTTTGTTTTTACTATTTAGTAACCTTTTCTCAGACCCATCTAAGCAAAAGATTCTTGATTGGAAGACTCGGTTCAACATCATGGAAGGGATTTCCAGAGGTCTTTTGTACCTTCACAGAGATTCAAGACTAAAGATCATACACAGAGATCTAAAAGCCAGCAACATTTTGTTAGATGACAATCTGAATCCAAAGATATCTGATTTTGGCCTTGCAAGAGTTTTCGAAGCGAGTGAAGATGAAGTAGCAGAAACAAGAAGAGTTGTTGGAACATAGTAAGTATCCATTACCAAAAATATACTAACAGAGATTTTGAAACCGATATGAATTGAAACTTTTGTTATTGTAGCGGCTATATGTCACCTGAATATGCAATGGAAGGTTACTTTTCTGAAAAATCAGACGTTTTCAGCTTAGGGGTTATCTTTCTTGAGATCATAAGTGGGAGAAGAAACTCTCACAAGGAAGAAAACAATCACAACCTTTTAGCTTATGTAAGTGTAGTACTAATACTCAGTGTTAAAGTAAGTTTAGTAGCTTTGAAACTTACCGTAAATATGGTTTTTTACAGGCGTGGAACCTGTGGAATGATGGGGAGGCTGCTTCTCTAGCAAATCCAATATTCTTTGATGAGTGTTTTGAGAAAGAAATAGCTAAATGTGTTCACATTGGTTTGTTGTGTGTGCAAGAACTTGCAAACGATAGACCGAATGTTTCAAATGTGATTTGGATGCTAACTACTGAGAATGCAAACCTCCCTGAGGCAAAGCAGCCTGCGTTTATAGCAAGAAGAGAAGTCTCTGTGGCTGGATCTTCTGACCGGAGTAGTCAAATGGTCACTATCAATGATGCTAGTCTCACTGCTGTAACAGGACGTTAAGCTCACAAAATCAATCTGTGTGTTTATATATATATATATATATGTTTTGAGAATCTCATGATTTCAAACTTTTTTATTCTGCTTATGTTTAATGGTTAGGTAAAAGATTAGGAGATGTGTTTTAAAGAATTTATGTCAGCTTCACTTATATTGTTTTTTTCTTTTTTGGTCAAACTCCACTTATATTGTTTACTTTTAAAAGAGAAAACTTAGATATAAAAGATATGAACTACCAAATAGAAAATGGCCGTCTGAAATTTTAACTTTGTGCATTAGCCCAAAACGTGACATAGTAAAAACTGATATATTTGGTTTTGTGTAAATGTTATTTACCAGCAGCTACCAATTAATTGTTACGTGTAAGAACATCCACATCAATGAACTCTCTCTTAGAGTTTACATTTTAAATTTTTAATTATTAAAACTTTTTTTTTTATTTAAAAAAAAAAGAAAAAAATAGACGAATCGTGAGCAGCCACATGTCGTGGAGCCTACGCTACAGTGATGGAACCGGATTCACCGTAGAGAACCTACAAGAGACAAATTCATCACTATTCCGTATTTTATTTTTTATTATTTTTAAATGTGTAAACCCCCATCTGAACCTTTGATGGGGATGTTCTAAGTTATTTGTCATTTGCTCTGGATGTCATGAACTCTCGTGGAGTGAAAGATATGAACTACCTATCATATGAAAATTTAACTCTTGTGCATTAGCCCAAACCGTGCCATAGTAAAAACTGAATATATTTGATTTTGTGTAAATGTTATTTACCAGCTACCAATTAATTGTCACGTGTTGTTATTTGTAATTTGTTATGGATGACATGAACGCTTGTGGAGAGAAAAAAACTCAGTTTTATTATAATTGATTGATTGATGATGATTGATAGATTACTTTCTTATTACAGATGCCCTTTCGACTAACATCTTATTTTTACTTCTCTTATAAAACACTCGAGAATCACTAGAATAATATTGGACATAGCATTAATGTCACTATTCTTCTTGAATAAAACTTGCGGTACTGGCTTCATTGTTATCAATTCATCATTACACGTATCCGTGTAGGCCAATGTAAATCCGACTTCAGTGTTTAAGTTGTCGTAGTCCTTGGATGCCAAAACTTTGAGAGCACGATCGTTATGAAAAAGAGAATCATCGTACAATTCTGCGCATAACTGAAGTGTCTGCAAATCTGCACCCGTTGTGTTGCCTTCGAACATTTTTACTTGGTTCAACGTATCTGAAGTGTATCGAGACAGATAATTGATCACAAATTTGGCCAGACCAGAAAAATCTAGTTTTTCAATTTCAGGGGTTGGCTTTAGAATCTCAAAACAAAGTGAATGATTGACATCTTTTGTACAGATGGATTCAATTTTTCCTTTTGCAACCATCATATTAAATCTTGCATATGATGAGACAACAAGAAGAAGTAAGACCATAAGAGCCAACAAAAAGTTTTTTTTCATGTATGCCATATTTTGTTCTAGATATTTGAGAGGATATGAGATTTATATTTGCTGAACTATATATATAGGCTTAAAATGACAGAAGCAGCAGAACCAGTCCTAAAAATATATTTTTGAAATATTTAAATAGAACTCTATTTTGTAACGTCCTCATTTTATATGAGCCAACAAGAAGACGTAAGACCATAAGAGCCAACAAAAAGTTTTTTTTTGATGTATGCAGCCATATTTTGTTCTAGATATTTGAGAGGNATATTTTTGAAATATTTAAATAGAACTCTATTTTGTAACGTCCTCATTTTATATGAGCCAACAAGAAGACGTAAGACCATAAGAGCCAACAAAAAGTTTTTTTTTGATGTATGCAGCCATATTTTGTTCTAGATATTTGAGAGGATATGAGATTTATATTTGTTGAACTATATATATAGGCTTAAAATGACAGAAGCAGAACCAATCCTAAAAATATATTTTTGAAATATTTAAATAGAACTCCATTTTGTAACGTTTCTATTTTGTAACGTCCTCATTTTATATGAGCCAACAAGAAGAAGTAAGACCATAAGAGCCAACAAAATGTTTTTTTTCTGATGTATGCAGCCATATTTTGTTCTAGATATTTGAGAGGATATGAGATTTATATTTGATATTTAAAATGACAAAAGCAGAACCAGTCCTAAAAAGATATTTTTGAAATATTTAAATAGAACCTATTTTGTAACGTTTCAAATGTGATTTGGATTCTAACTACTGAGAATGCAAACCTCCCTGAGGCAAAGCAGCCTGCGTTTATAGCAAGAAGAGAAGTTTCTGTGGCTGGATCTTCTGACCGGAGTAGTCAAATGGTCACTATCAATGATGCGAGTCTCACTGCTGTAACAGGACGTTAAGCCTAAAAAACCAATCTGTGTTTATATATATATATATATATATATATATATATATATATATATATATATATATATATATATATATATATGTTTTGAGAATCTCATGTTTACAAACTTTGTTATTCTGCTTATGTTTAATGGTTAGGTAAAAGATTAGGAGATGTATTTTAAAGAATTTATGTCAGATTCAATTATATTGTTTTTTTCTTTTTCGGTCAAACTCCACTTATATTGTTTACTTTTAAAAGAGAAAACTTAGATTTAAAAGATATGAACTACCAAATAGAAGATAGGCCGTCTAAAATTTTAACTTTGTGCATTAGCCCAAAACGTGACATAGTAAAAACTGATATATTTGGTTTTGTGTAAATGTTATTTACCAGCTACTAATTAATTGTCACGTGTTGTTATTTGTAATTTGCTCTGGATGACATGAACTCTCGTGGAGTGAAAGATATGAACTACCTATCATATGAAAATTTAACTCTTGTGCATTAGCCCAAACCGTGCCATAGTAAAAACTGAATATATTTGATTTTGTGTAAATGTTATTTACCAGCTACTAATTAATTGTCACGTGTTGTTATTTGTAATTTGCTCTGGATGACATGAACGCTTGTGGAGAGAGAAAAACTCAGTTTTATTATAATTGATTGATGATGATTGATAGATTACTTTCTTATTACAGATTCCCTTTCGACTAACATCTTATCTTTACTTCTCTTATAAAACACTCGAGAATCACTAGAATAATATTGGCCATAGCATTAATGTCACTATTCTTCTTGAATAAAACTTGCGGTACTGGCTTCATTGTTATCAATTCATCATTACACGTATCCGTGTAGGCCAATGTAAATCCGACTTCAGTGTTTAAGTTGTCGTAGTCCTTGGATGCCAAAACTTTGAGAGCACGATCGTTATGAAAAAGAGAATCATCGTACAATTCTGCGCATAACTGAAGTGTCTGCAAATCTGCACCCGTTGTGTTGCCTTCGAACATTTTTACTTGGTTCAACGTATCTGAAGTGTATCGAGACAGATAATTGATCACAAATTTGGCCAGACCAGAAAAATCTAGTTTTTCAATTTCAGGAGTTGGCTTTAGAATCTCAAAACAAAGTGAATGATTGACATCTTTTGTACAGATGGATTCGATTTTTCCTTTTGCAACCATCATATTAAATCTCGCATATGATGAGACAACAAGAAGAAGCAAGACCATAAGAGCCAACAAAAAGTTTTTTTTGATGTATGCAGTCATATTTTGTTCTAGATATTTGAGAGGATATGAGATTTATATTTGCTGAACTATATATATAGGCTTAAAATGACAGAAGCAGCCATCCTAAAAAGATATTTTTAAAATATTTAAATAGAACTCCATTTTGTAACGTTTTTATTTTGTAACGTCCTCATTTTATAAGAGCCAACAAGAAGAAGTAAGACCATAAGAGCCAACAAAAAGTTTTTTTCTGATGTATGCAGCCATATTTTGTTCTAGATATTTGAGAGGATATGAGGTTTATATTTGCTGAACTATATATATAGGCTTAAAATGATAGAAGCAGAACCAGTCCTAAAAATATATTTTTGAAATATTTAAATAAAATTCTATTTTGTAACGTTTCTATTTTGTAACGTCCTCCATAAGAGCCAACAAAAAGTTTTTTTGATGTATGCAGCCATATTTTGTTCTAGATATTTGAGAGGACATAAGATTTATATTTGCTGGACTATATATATAGGCTTAAAATGACAGAAGCAGAACCAGTTCTAAAAAGATATTTTTGAAATATTTAAATAGAACTCCATTTTGTAACGTTTCTATTTTGTAACGTCTTTATTTTATATAAATATAAATGAGAACATTACAAAATGAGGTAAAATGAGAGCGTTACAAAATGAAGTTCTATTCAAATATATATATATATAAATATATATAAAGTGTAAATGTGAAATTTAAAAAATAGATTTTGTGTGTTTATGATTTAAAATGCATAATTTTTAATATATATCATTGAAACTAATAACGTTCATTTAAAATAATATATATTAAAATAGTATATAATTCAAACTAAAGTTTTTGCTAAAAATTTACTAAAAATATTGTAAATTCTAAATAAAAATAATTGTTTTTTGAATGGGGCCTTCGAAATCTCATGATCAGTTCTTGCTAGAAGTATATGTCTATATAGTTTTTTGCTGTAAGTGCTGGCATATTATATACCATATTGATGTTATTTGAATTAAAACCAAACTGTCAAATTCTTCAGTGCTTTCCTTTTGTGTTAGATTATGTACCATAATAAAAGATATACATTAACAAATTTGGAACGAAATCTTACAAAGATTCTCACTTTAGGTAACACAATCTTATATCTTTAACACTAAATAAACAGTATATAATTTTACCTTAAAATGGTCAGTGTAAAATAGTAGCGTTGTCTTAAGTGGTACTTTAGATTCTCCTTTCTTTCTATTCAAAGGGTTTAAATGGTGACCATTAGAATACAAATAAGAATGAATACAGTAGAACCTCTATAAATTAATACTCGATAAATTAATTTACACTAAATATTTCTATAAAATAATATAATTTTATAATCCCAAACTGAATTTTTGGTTCAATTAGTATATCGATAAATTAATCTCTCTATAAATTAATAAAAAAATAAAAAATTTAGTGTAGTCCCAACATTATTAATTTATAGAGGTTTTAGTGTAGTTTAAAAAACGAAAAAAGAGAGAATAAAATGATGGGAATGAAAAATAAATTATATCCTTTTTATATTATCTGAGGAGTACTATTA